CCTTACGTCGGCAGTGTGGTCCCCCGGCCCCCGACCTGACGTGAAACCTGCAGTCAATGACCCCTTTATGTCACCCCAACCCCAACCTCAAAGCACGAACCAAGCCTGAACCGAGAATCCTGAACGCCCCCCTCCCACTACACAGTTTCGGGGTTCCTCCTTGACTGCTGTAAAGGTGAGACGACGGGGTCGTGAGGGCATTTCGGGCTCGGGTACTTCAAAGACAAACCACCCCCTTACGGCTAAAAAGCGGTGCCCCCATCTAGGTTAACTCTACTCGAGCCCCGCATGCTCTTCTGCGTCTGTGCTTATCCGGCAGGCTCAGTAGCTCTTGTCCTGCTGTTGGCCTCCCAACCCGTCTTCGGCTGGGTGTCCCACTGCTGCGTGCCACTCGTCTTCGGAAAGGTGGCCCCCCACTTCGTGATCTTCGGGTTCTCTGCCCCCATCCCAGGCGTCTTCTTTGCTGGTGGTATACGCTATGCCGGTCCCTCTCCACTCAGTTTCTGTCTTGCCCATAATGAGTGTCCAGCTTTTTGAACTCTCCATGTGGGCCCCCGGGTCGCAGATCACCGGAGGGCCACGACCACTGGTGCAAAGGTGGAACAGTTCAGCATTCTGTCATCCGCGAGCATCTGGAGGGTGTCGAGGATCTTTCGCCCCCCGGCCCCGCCAGTGTTCCAGGTGAGCAACGTCAGTGCTGGGCGATGGGAATGTTCTTCCCCGCCGTCAAGGTGAAACCAAGCGCTCTTCTTCCCCATTCTTCGTCAGCGGAGGCTGGAGGCCAGCCCTTCCCACTGCTGCTGCACCCTATCCGGGAGGATCTTGAGCCCCTTCGCCAGTGCTTTAGTGTCAATCCATCCGGGCCCTGCTTCCGTTGCCCCTTCTTTCGTCGGGCCAGCTGCCGACGACACGCGGAGCCCCTTGTACCACACAGTCCCCGTTGCGAACTCTGCCTCCAAGTGGGCGTGCTCCCCGCCTAGCTCCAGGATGCATCTCTTCACCTTGGCTGCGAGTTTGGCCCGGCGTCGTCGGTCTGGCGGTTGCGAGATGGCCAGGAACATGTAGCGTGGCTGCCCCGTGTCCTCCCTCACGTGCCCGGTCTGCATCTTCGCGTTGCGGACTTTGGCGATGGCTTCTTGAATGCGTTGACGATGTCCTTCGTCGGTCTCCCCAGGCCTCGGCCCCTTGAGGGGGATGAGCCCAAAACCTCTCCGGACCCCCGGGACGAACATGTCCTGGTAGTCGATGTCTATCTTGAGCAGTCGCAAGGCTTGCTGCGCTTTCTCCAGGACGTCCCCCGCGGTGGTATCATCGTTCCAGCCCCCCACGATGAGCGCCGGGACACGACGCCCCCCAAGCCCATCGCCATGCTCCGTCGCGGTGGTGCTTTGAGCCGATAGACCGCCTTGTTGGGCTTTCATCTCCAGCTTCTCCACTCTTTCCGTGAGGCTTCCCATTTTGTTCTCCAAGTCGTGCTGGCCCCCCATGAGCTCTTCAATCCCCGCCGTGTGCTTGTCCTGCTTGGCCGTGAGTTCCTGGAGGAGCTGCAGGGTGGTCTTGAGCTGGCGGGTAACTTCGGTTTCCACCGTGGCAATGCGCTCCACCATCTCCTTCTGCACCCCCCCCATGCGCTCCACCATCTCCTTCTGCACCCCCCCCACAGCTTGCTTGATCTCTGCTCGGTTGGTGCGGAGCTCGCTCTGGAGGGTTGCTTGCAGGGTTGCTTGCAGGGTGGCGAGAGTGACCCCCCCTTGTTCCACCACCTCGACCTCCTCCCCTGGCTCTAGGTCCATCACCTTTCTCTTGGCGGGTGATGCCCCCTCACTTGCAGGTGCCCCACTGCCACCAGACATAGTTATCTTTCACGGTGTCGCTGCCCAAGTCACGAACTCTGAGATGTCAAAGTCCCTGGCGGGCTTCGGGAAGTGCAGAATCTCCCCCTTGCCAAACTGGTCACGTAGGCCGCCGATGGCTGTCAGGTAGCGGGTCAGGAAGTCCCCCGCACGCCTCAGCGGTGGTAGTGGGAGAGCTCGGCCAGCGCCGGTTCTCAGTGTCCCGGGCCTTCGCGGTGTCCCCGCGTAGTATCACACACAGGTAGATGGGCTCGTATGGCTAGCGCGGGCGCCGGGGCAGAGGAGTTTTCGACTCTCAGGCCTCCCCCCTTTCACTCAGTCTCTCCCTTTCAAGTTGTCCCCTGGACACTGGGCTGGGGCTCGAGCCGCTTGAGCCAAAATGGCTTGTAGCCATTTCCTCTCTCTCTCTCTCTCTCTCTCTCGGGCTCCTTGCCTCCCTCCTCCTGTGCTACTGTTCGTGGAGGAAGTCGTGAACCCCACAAAACGCGCCTTCAACCGTCAAACCCGAACTCAGCCTGAAAACTTCATAAACGCCTCTGAACCCTAAATCGGCCTCAGGCCGCCTGGAGCGACCCGAACCTTTCAAAGCCCTCAGCGGGAGGAAGCATCCTTCGGCCCAAGGAGAAACAGGAGAGTACCCCCCCTGACCACCCAGCAGCTTGACGAAACCTGAGAGCCCCCAAAACAATCGGTCAAATCCCAAAACCTCAATCCTTCAACGCCTCCCTTTCCCCATGACGAAAGCTTGGACCGGCGACTTCAAACCCTAAACCCTAAACTCTGAAAGAAGCTCTAGAGTGCCGGTGGGTCCTCCTTAAATGTCGGAGTAGACCACAACCTCTCCTGCACCTTTCCGCCCCCGAAGCTTCTCAAGTGGTGGGGAGAAAGCGGGGCCTGCAAAGCTTCGGCATCCTTTGGCTTTAGCCTCGCAGCGCTCTGGACTTCGTGACTTCGGGGGCTTCTTTGCCCTACAAACTGCTAAGGAATTCTGCCTTCCCCCCTAATTACCCAAACTCCAAAAAAAGGACTTGCTCGAAAATCTGAACAGTGTATGCACAGAGACAGACGCATAGAACGCATCTATGTAACTGGGCGGCCAAGAAAGCGAAGCCAAATCCAAGACTCGAAGAGCGCAAGTGGCAACTGCGACGCAAAGAAGCCCTATGGGCTTGGGGTCAGGGCTGATGGCCTCGTCACTATCGCATGTAGTAGGAAGGTTCCGAAGATTTGCTCTCTGCATGAGGGAAGAATGCAGAAAGAGGCCTCTTGAGGTTTCTGGGGGACAGGGAATCAAGAGCCCAGACTCTCAAGAACTAAAAGCATGGAGAGAAGGACCATCTATCTGAACCTACACGCTTTGGTTGAGATTTGGATGACCTTAATTTATGAAAAAAAAATTGGGGTGCTGTCCAGGACGCCGCGGAGGCGTTATGCTTGCATCTTGCTCGAAACTCCTCAGTGCTGACTTCAGGGCAGGCGTGCTACGGCGCTCGGCAATCGCGGGAAACTGAAAAAGCCCCCCCTCCCCCCCCCATTTAGTGTACAATCTAGAATACAAACCACAAGCCTCATCCCAAGGCAGGCCAGGTGAGCATAACTCGTGCATGAACCCTCTATTTACAAGTCTACACAGGCTTCTCTAAGCGCCCCTAAACCCTCACACCCTTCTAAGCCCATAAGCACGAAACCCTTACAACTTTAAACATCCTTAAGCCCGCAACCTCGAAAGCCGAGTCTCTTGGTCGAGTGAGACGCCGAGCCTGACTTCCTTTGAAGGGGAGCGGGAGGAGATTGGGGGTTGGGGGAGGCATTGGGGTCTTGAGCCTTTGGGGTGTTTAAGTTTCAACGCTGGACTTCGTCGTCTTGAGCTTCTCAAGCTTGCCAAGAACACCTTGGCCTTGGCCGGCAATAACACCCAGATTCAGGAGACAAGCAATCCCTTTCCCCTTAGCGGACATGCGAAAGCCAAGCGTCTGCAGCCGGCTAACTCTGACCTTATAGTCTGCACCAGGGAGGGTTCGTTGAATTGCAACGCGCGCAACCAGTGAAGACAGCTGCAAAGCGCTCTCCCTTCTAACCTCTGGCTACCCCAGTCTCGTCCTTTCCCCTGCACAGCTGATGTCCAAGAGGCTGCCTGTGAGGGCCGTGCCTTTGAGGTGGAAGAGGTGGAGGAGGAGGTTTACAGGGAGAGCATGGGGCTTCAGCCAGGCTGTTGGTGTTCAATGGTATTCATGCGGGCTGCAAGCACTTCGAGTGTCCTGAAGGCCTGGGTCCCCGACTTTCAACACTCTGGCATGGTGACTTCTTGTTGGGCTGCCGGCTTCCGGGTTGAATCGTGGACGGTCTATTTGAAAAATGCGCAGTGGCCAAGGTCAAATCACATGCCACATGAAAAGAACCTCAACTACTCTTGTGTTGAATCAACCCACACTGTCAAGCCCAAGGCCAAAACCACACACCGGGATCCGACATGTCAAGGTTTTTCGCCAATGCGAGCCGGTCTGCCGCGACGCCCGCTTCGGGGGTCCCGGCTGTGGCCATGGCGATGGACTCTTGAGCCGAGCGGACAATTGCGGTGTTTTTCATCCTCTACCCCCCCCCCCCCCCCCCTACCCGCTGTGCAAGCTAATCATTCAATCTACATTCTACATTCTCCCAGGGCCAGACTTTCGTTGATTAACTTGCACCGCCAAAAGATACCTCAATACAGTGCCCACACCGAGAGTTTTCCCCCCCAAACGACACTTACACAAAGTCCAGCCAGACAAACCTACCAACACACACACACGCACACACACAGAGACACACACAGACAGACAGACAGACACAGACACACAGACGCCCTCCAGCGCCCCTAATTCTGCACGTAGATTCAAAGTTCAAAGCCCTTCAGCAGCCGCACATGAGCCGCCATGTGTTGGGGCCAACTATTGGGGGCCTCAGGGTAGGAGAACGTGGGAGGGTTCAAGGGGAGACCAGGGAGCCGGGAAGAGCTTATGGCATTATGGCTTCCCGTCTGCACACCGAAAAGCTTGGGAAGGACTCAGGAAACTGTTTTCACCTCATTAATTAGCGAAACAATTGGAACCAAGAAAACGAAGCAACAAATGACGATACGCCCACGCAAACCCAACGAAGGCCCCCGGCTCAGCTTCTCTGCAAGACCACTGGAGTCCGTGTCCATAGGCACCGGAGACTGATCCCCGCCGTTGCCTTTGGAGGGGGGCTTGAGCTCTCGTTTGGGGCGTCGAGGCGTTTAAATGTGAGCACTATATTGGTGGCATGGTAAAAGCGTGAGGCATCTGCAAAACAGAAAGCAGGATACCGCACTCTTTCATGGGAAGGGGCTGCGGCCTGCGGAGGGCCAGATCAAGTTTCTGGCTCTGTTTTGTGGGACTTTCGGCGGCATCTGGGGGATAGTCTCTGACCCACAAGAAGAACTGCCAAACGCATCACTAATAACACCCAACAGGCAGCAAGCACCTTATTTCCAATGCCTCCTCGAGTGGCCTTTGCACATGACCTCGTCAAAGAAACCCTTTGACCCTAAACCCATCTCAACACATCCACAAACTGGAGCCTCAAAGGTGTCAAAAAAAAAAGAGCTGGAACCCTATCAGAATCGCACACCCTGACCTCATCGTGCCTAGAACCCTAAAGTGCCCACAACAAGCCGCAACATATTAAAGCCCCAAAGCTTCGGTTGATAGCAATTCAATTTTCTGAGGGCCCCTGGCTCACGGTGGACGTCTGGGCCGGAGCCTGCCGCCTTGAAATTCTGATCATGGATCATGGGGGGTGGGGGGGCGCTGGTTTGGTTTAGGGTTGTGGGTTTTTTTTGCCACCCACCTAGCAGACCCCCTCTGCGATCACTCCGCAGGGAACAATCGTGGCTATGTGGTATCAGTAAAGTTCCGCAACAGGGGTTCCGAGTCCTCCCGAGGCCTTTGTCAAAGAAACGCAAGACAGCACACGGCCTACTACGGAGGACCAATCCAGATACCATCAGGACAGCCAAACGGACAGTCTTGCCAGTAGGGCCTCGCTTTACTTCCACACGCCTAGTAGTCGGTCTATCAACGCACTAACATGAGTAAACTTTTGCGAGCCCCACTCAGGTGTCCTGCTCCACGGCACACCACTGTCATGGGGGACCGGACGGTCTCCGAAAAGCGCAACCCTTCCGATCATACTACAGCGCCGCCCCCTTATCCAGTATGCCTCCGCCCTGTGCAGGTCCCTTTCCACTGGAAGGTTGAGTACCAAAGAAGCCAACCAGCAAAGGACATAAATAACGCTTGTTCATTAGGACCTGCTTCTCGCACTCAGCGTGCGTTACGAGCTACAAATTGAGTCAGCATGCACACGTGTTTATAAACCAACCAACCAGTTACATCAAAACACCCTAACAGCTATCCAGGGTTTTGGGGTTAGGGTTTAGGGAGGGCGGGGGGGGGGTCGAGGTTTTTGTTTGCCACCCGCCAAGCTGAACTCGAAGTGCAGTTTAGGGTTGATAAGCGCAGTGGCAGGCTCATGCGGAGCCGAAGCCGAGAGTTTCAGGCTGGGCCACGCGGGTTCGAGCACAGGAAAGGGACACTGCAAGTGCAGGTCATCTAAAACAGGCTCTAGGCAAGACCAGTGGCTGTGCCAGAGAGCATCCAGGCAGTCTCCAGAGACCATGAATCTGTTGGGTCATCACACACAATTTGGGGCGGAACCTAATCGTCGAGTCTGAGCCTTTAGCCACCAAAGCGCCCTGAACCTGTGTCCTGAGCTCCGAGCAGCAGGGGCCCATCTGGTCGCATCCGTACACGGGACTTCCTGTGCGCTGAGTAGACTTTCGGATTGGCGGTTTGAGCACTTTCCACCCCGTCATCCAGGTTTGGTTGGGCCCGGTTGGGCCCTCTCGCACACGAGTCGGGAGCATCGGATCTTTCTGTTTTCTGGCGTCTATCGCCACCATCTCCAGCATAGTTATGGAAGGTAACCCTTTTCCACCCTCCGGCCACGATGCATCCCTGGGCTCTTTAACCGTGCAGTTGGTGGCAAGTCATGAAGCACCTCGTAACCTTGCTTCAGGATACCAACGTAGTATTCGGATGTTTGGTATGTCTAACAAAATTCGACGCGACAATGCCTGGTTGCTGAGTACCCTGGGCCACAAAAAGGTTTAACTATTGCAATATGGTAGGATGATAAAAACTCCGAAAGATTACAGAAACCTCCTTAGCTACTAAGACTGAAGGGTTCAGGTAAGCCCTTGAAGCTGCTGCCATCAAGGTGCTTCACGTCGAAGTCCCACTCCTCGGATTGATTTGAGGTTTCGCGAGGGGTACAAGAAGCAGCCATACTTTGTGACCCCGGCTTGTGACTCTAACGGTTTAGGGTTTAGGGTTTAGGGTTTAGGGTTTAGGGTTTAGGGTTTAGGGTCTAAGCCCCTTGTCGTTCATTGTGGGCAGGCTTTCGAAGGGAGTCCTGAAATACCACTGTTGGGATTTTGGAATGGGTTCCTCCACCTGACCTATCCCTCGAAACAGACTGGACTGAGCCACAACACCCTGCCGCAAAACCGTGCAAAACCTTTGGCTGCAAAAGCATTCACATCCTTCCCCACTCCCCCATGCCTCCCACCAACCCCCATAAAGGAAAGCCCGAAACCGTCGGTGGATGCGCGGATAGAAAAATGAGTTGTGCAGACTCATCTGAACCTTTCCCACCCAACACTTGCGGACAAATCTCTTCGTAGTGACCTTCGAAGAAGGTCTCGAAGTCCTTGTTGTTCCACACCTCAGCGGGCTCTGGAGCAAATGTGCCAATGCCCTCAGAGCAGAACTGCACGAAAACAACCGGCAAAATGGAATTGCCTTGCTCATGGCGACTTCAATGGCCTGTTTTTGCGGTGTCTAATCCACTTGGGGTTCAAGACTATCATGACGATAGCTCATCAGCGCCCTGAGCCGGGGATGTCCTGATCCTGATTCCCCAAGGGCCAGGCCCTAGCTTTTTTGGGGACTCTGCCTCTCTTAAAAACCCTAAGTTAGCCTCAAAACCAGAACCCTTCAGAGCCTGAAAACCTTCCAAAGCCACGAAAGGCAAATAACCGCACGGATGGGCAGCGTGCGGTGCTTCCGAGCATCTGCTGGAAGTAGAGCCGGACCTCATGCAAAAGGGGGCCGCTAGTTGGCTCAACCGTCTTGAATCTTAGGCTTGGGGGTTGTTTATGGGGTTCACGCCAAAAGGGTCTACCAGAGTGGGCGGACGCGGCCTACGTACTGAATAACTACATTGCTAGTATGGGCTCTAAGGATATCGGCATATCGGTGTGAATTCACCTCTATATTTAGTAGTACTAAGACTCTCACACTCCGAACCAGGATTCCAACCACCCCGTACCTTGGTCAGAGGCCGAAATTTCCCGAACCTGACCTCTAATGACTCTAATACCCACTCATGGCCAACACCGTCACGTCCACAAGCAAAACAGTGCCAGGCTGGGGCAAACACACTTAAGTCGGCTCGAAGATCGCTGAGTTTCACGAAGCCTGCCGCATGCATATTCAGGCACGAACCAAGCACCTCCCAAACTTGGTAGGGTGATCCTGACAAGAACTACAGACTGACTTGCAAGGCTTCCGCAGCTTTAGATTTGAGGCGCGACACGATAGGACTTGAATCTTGTGGTCGGAGGAGTTGGGCTTCAGGCATTGTGAGCTGAGGCGGGGTTGCGGAGAGACTTGTCGGTGAGGCGGTGTGCCTTTTCGGCCTAAGACCTCATGAGCGACGCGCTTTAAAGAAGCTCTGATCGAGGATGAACTCCTATCTCCGAACCCTTTGAAACTGAGACCTCATGCAGAACATGTTTAAAGTTGAAGCTTGCTTGGAGCTCGAAAACTCGGAGGCAGACAGCGCGCGAAGTTGTAGGGCAGGACCCAAGGAAAAAAGAAAAGCACCCCAAACCCTCACTGAAGCCTGACACATTCTCAAACCCATCCGCCCGCCTCCCTGTCCACCTCCCTGGCTCTCCACAGCTCCCTTCAGCACCTGAAGGCTTCGTTCACTCCTCTGAGAGGAAAAAAGCAAAGCGTTCCTTGTATGTGGTGAAGGCGCCTCACTGCAGAATTGTTTTCCCACGGCCAGTGCGCCTGTTCCTCTCCTTCCCTCCCTCAACACCCAAGCGTCCTTCCCTGCAGTAAAGGCGTTTACACCGCGACTCTTAAGCCATGAACCCGTAGCCCTAAATCAGCCTCGCTGGTGGTCATGTACTTGTAGGCCTGAAAGAACCAGTGCTGGGATTCGAGGGTCAATGATGCCAAGTTTGAAGTGTGCAGGTGTGAGGGCCATGATGCCATGCCGGGGTAAGCCGGTGACTGCGGAAAAATCCACCAGGACGAAGTCAGCGACGTCCCCGCCCTCGTCCACCTGCACTTGGCCATAAGTGCGGCTGGGGGCCGGGGGGGGGGGGCATCAAAAACTTGTAATGAACGCCCACACTAAGTTGCACTGAGCAGAGCTTGAGAAAGCAGCGCCGTCTGCCAGAGACTCCTGCAGAAGCTCAGCCCCAGAGAAGCCTTCCCAGCCATTCGCAGCTGGTCGGGAGTCCGGTAGGCCATGTAGCGCTCCGGCCAGAAGGCAGCTGGCAGAAACAGGGCTTGCGGCTTGTGTGTTTCAGGGCTTCGGGCATGGAGGAGCGGGGGTGAGTAGCTGGGATATGCTTTGAGCCACCGCCCACCCCAAGAACTGAAACCACTTCATTCAGTCATTCAGGTAGGTGTTTCATCAAGCCGACATCCCCTGCACCTTCGAAGCGAAAGGCGCCCTGGCTAAAGGGACTGGCGCTAACCTCGGTGCATATGGAACAGGAAGGATAGGGAGCTGAGAAAGGAGCTCTTCCTTCTTGCAGCTGACTCTGATCCAAACGGAAACGGTCTGTGGATACTTGGGCAGGATGGGGGATTTTGATTTTCGGCCATTAGGGGTGATGTTGTGGCTTTAGGAGTTTTGGGCATTATGGCATTATGTCCTACGTCTCGCGCTGAAAATCATGCAATCTCATGAGAACCCGCAGCTGGGTGGGCCAAATGAGTCTGGGCGTCGTGCAATGAGGTTGCATCTCTTCATCTCCTGGCCAAATCCCCGGTGCAAATATCTGTCTTGCCACCATATAGCTCCAGACCACAAGGTAATAGGATCATCTGGGCATTTTGGGGCACAGGCATACAGATTGGAACAATCTTTTGCGCATTGCTTGGGCGCAGGGATACGGATCACTACGGGACGCAACTCCAATTGCAAGGGCTTGTGCCACCCACTAAGCCTGGTGACGATGAGAAATTTCATGGTATCAGCAACACACAGCCAAATGCTCAAGGATCATCAGGTTATTAGGCAAGAGTTCTCTGCGTTGTTCTTGAGCTTTGGAGTCTTCGGGTTGAGCCTTGGAGGCCTTAGAAATTGCTGAAGGCTTTCAACTGTAGTCTTTCGATACTTATGGCATAAGCCACATTCCCCCCCCCCCCCCCCCCCCAGCGTGTCCTGGTCTGCAGACAGATCACAGCCAGACTCTGCCGCCTCATCCTCCTCCTGCCCTGGGCTGCAAGCAACGTTGCATCCCAAGCTTCCATATAAACTCCATAGAGTCAGGGGCTGGGGAGGCGCGATGTTCCTGGCCCGATGCAATCTTGGATAACGCGGTCCAAAGAGCGCAACCCCCTGTCCTTAAAAAGAACGCCGCACAGGTCAATGGTTGGTGATCATGTGCGTTGGTGCGTGGATGTGCCTGGCTGGAACTGGAAGCTGACGTTGATCCCACCTTCCATTCCTTGACCTTCCAAGGCTGTCTTTTGTCAATGGCAAAGGATCAAAAACCAATGCCTAATTCAGATGCTTAACGTCTCGGAGTGTAAAGCTTTGTTGCCGCGTGGGCTTGGGGGTTGGGGGTGGTGCGGGGTTGCCATGCACTCTGTTCACTCCACTCGATCTGCAGCCTGCTGTTTCTCTGGCGCGCAGCCGGCACATATTGTTCACCTCAGCTGGCAATCCGATCAAGCAACGAATTGACCCCCTCAAGCCCCAAATGAGCCGCAAGCATGGCCTTTTGGCTAAAAAACAGCCTTCGGCACTAAAAAGTGAAAGCTGGATTCGAGCCTTGGGCCTCGCCAAACCTGCTGCAACGACTTCAGAACTACTCACTGACTCACTGACAAAACAAGAATTAGGCCACTTGGAAGGGCCCTACATGCAAGGAAAGGTCTGGGCAAAGCGAAACCACAACGACCGCTCCTAGCACTAAACGGGCAGCAAAGTCGCTTCGGGCAGCCACCAAAGGGAGAACTTCGCGGCCTGGAAGAACTCCTGGAGCACTGACGTCGAGTGTAGGCCACTGCGATGAGGTCTTCGTTGCTGTTTGCTGTTCTTATGCTGCAGTCACGAACGCGCCACGCACTGCTAAGAGATGACTGATACTCCGCGGAGAGTTACTTTACACGATTCAAGCATGCATCGGCTGCTGTGGCACATATTTCACTGCCACGCAAAGTTCAGGACTTCTTTCGGGGCTCTGGAATTGCGTGCACCTACTCTGAACTGTGCTGAGTCACCAGCCCCGTACGACTGCCTCCCAAAAAAGGCCAAGAAATAAGTAGAACTGCAATGAAACCAGCGCCTGAAATCCGACGCCCAAAGCTTCGTCGCGTGACCTTTGCGAGTGTCGCAACATATGATTCGGCTATATTGGCTTCCTCGCACTGATACATAAAACATCGACACCAAACAGAATCTTTGAAGGCATTAGGAGCAGCGCGCCTACCCATGACCCTTGACCTTTCTTTCCTCGCAACTAGAAACAATAATGGAAACAAAGCCCATCACGATCTTCATCGTCGCGTCGCCGTGGACGTGGCCGTCTTCCTCATCCTCCTCGTCATAATCATCGTCATTGTCCTCCTTCTCAACCCCCTCCTCCTCCCCATCACCACGCATACAAGGGCTGATCCTCGGCACTGCGTGGGGCATAGGGGCAAGCCCGCGTGCACCCCAACTTTCGAGAAGGCTCAGGAGGAATCCCCGATCCCCTGAAGTGGACCTCCCCGGGAAAAGCGACCTGCCCCTGTAGGATCTCTCCCTCTGAGCTGTGAGAGTAATTCGGCCTTGCGATAGGCACAGCGGAGCCGTGGGGTTTCTCCCCCATGTATGGCGTCACACCCCATCGCAAGTTTCCCCGGGTTGCGCAGAAAATGCACTGCCGTCAAACCTTTTTGTGTCTTTGTGGGGCTTCAGGGAGCTTGACCCCATCAAACATTCTTCAATTTCTGCTGCTCTTAGGAACCCGGAAGGGCCCCCTGCACACGAGCGCTCGCTCTCTCTTCTTCTTCCCTTCTTCTACAGGGCGTGCGCGCAGGTGCGCCCAGTCCACGAAGGTTGTCTCTTTGGTGAGAGCTGTGACTCGGGCCCACGTCGGTACTGGGGAAGCTCATCGCTGTCCACTCTCTCTCTCTCCCTCTCTCTCTGTCCTTCCGCTCTGTTCGCACATCCCGAGACTGTTCAAAGGGGGAAGGAGAGCGCACAACTTTAGATTGTGTAAATGCTTTGTCATGTCTACTGATCGTTCTCAAGCCCACCACCGTGTTCTCCGCCGGTTCACTGAGTTCGTCGTTCACGTCGACACAATCACCCCAAAGACTCCAAAAGCAATGGTCTTGCTGCTCACGGCATTCTCTCGAAACAGCAGAGAATCACCAGATCCTGATCATCAAGGATCCCAGATTGCTGTGTGCAAGTTTTCGCTGACAGGCTTGTGACTCCTAAGCTTCAGGAAGCTGAGGAAACTGAGGTCCTGACTGCACAAGCAGCTGGTTGTCAACAATTCTGACGAACTTATCTGAATATCCTGCAGTTCGGCGGATGCCAAGAAGTGGATTGGAGATCAAACGTGATCAAGCGGATCGCCGCGGAGGGATAAAAACGCAATCACTTCCACATTCTACACATTCTGCCCATGACACCCAAGGCTGTCACCCGCCTAGAGGACAGAGCATGAATTCCTCGGCAACGGGGCCAGATGCATGGGAGGAGAGAAAAAGAAGCAGTGAAACGTAGGGCCGCCGTGATGGGACTGCAATTCAGATCTGGCATAGGGCACCGCAGAGTGGAGGATTTTGGGGCGTTGCTCTTCAGGTAGGTGTTGCAAGGAACAAGAGCCGTCAAGGACCGTTTGGAGAACTAAAGGCAGAGGCATGAGAAGCTACTTGAAGGTTCATGAATACTTACAAGTAAAGATAGAAGTACCCTACCTATAGAGCCCCTGCTTCTAACCGCAGCCACAAGTACGCATGAACCTTTGAGTAGGTCAAGTAGGCTACATTGCTCCCCCGGGTTGACACCTCGTGGGCAGCCCCCCCAAGGTTTGAGGGGTTTACAGTGACTCAGTGACGAAGAATCGGTGTGGGTGGCCAGGGGGGCTTGGGGTCAACTTTCTGACCTGATAAGAGACACCACGTATTTATACTCGTCCATTATCACAGCCGTTTAGTTCGGATGTGCTTGTGCTTTTGGTGGCGATCATACGCTCCAATTAAGGTGTCACTTACCTTTGCAAACGCTCAATCCCTCAAACACTCTGCTTTAATCAGGTGACCTTTGGAATGCTCATCCTCGGCTTGATGAATTGCGTCCTCAGCAGCGCTGGCTTATTGTGCCCTCGACTCGAAAACCTGGCGCCCGAAGTCGCAGATTCAGGGTTCCAGATTTGCAGCAAACCAGAGCCCTTTCCTTTGCCCCAATGCCTCACTGGATCTTTCAACCTAGCAACTTCAGCCTCAGCCTCAGCCCTTTCAATTCTACCTGCCCACTAGTTCACCAATACTGAGCGTTTGCTAAGGATGATATAGATATATAAATATATATAAATAAATAAATAAATATATATATATATAGACATATAGATATGTGTTCAGTTGGCAGGGCGTTTTGCAGGATTTGCAATAGGATTCCTGAAGGGTTCCGAGGGTTTAGGCACCCAGGGCCCCTCCCCACACTGGCCGTATTCGAGGGAGCCACTCTAGGCGGATGTTCAACCGCCTCCGCTCTAAGGCCTGCAGCATCTGATCATAGCCTGAGCCGCGGTTTGGAACATCACCGGGCAGGTTTTGATTTGGAGTATCGCGGTTTATCCCAGTTGCGCTGGGCTCCGAGGTTTTGCTTCGCTTCATGGCTTTTGGTTCAGTGAGTCCTGGCCTACGTCTCCAACAACACTTCACTTCACAGCTAGACAACTGAAAGTAAAGCCAAAGCTGAACTTCTGTCTGAACGCATACCCGGAAAGACAACCACAGCCACACAGCCACACAGCCGCACAGCCGCACAGCCGCACAGCCGCACAGCCGCGCGTCCACGCGGCCACACAGCCACACAGCCACTCACTCACTCACTCACTGACTCACAGTCAACACACTCACAAGCAAAAACGCTCTGAACCCCAAAACGCATAAACCCTCACATCCTGAGATGCTTGGACTCGTGTTGCACTCAGCTGGAAACTTTGGCGTTTCAGCGGATTGCTGATGGTCTCGTACCTCGGAGGCGGTGAGGAGGAAGGCTGAAGGGTGGGTTCACAAAGCCCTTGGAGCCAACTTGATCAAGGGTACGTTCGCCCCGAAGTTGCTAGTCTGGCAGCTTGGGCAGCTATAGTTATTCCAAGAACCTCCCCTACCCCCTCCCTCAACAACCCGGCTCCGGAATCGGCATGATATGGGCGCTGTCGGGCATCAGGGAGGGATGTCTTGGGTATCGGGCTATGTTATATGCATGGCTTTGCGGTTCCTAAGGGGACAAGGTACGCAAGGGAAGTGCAGAGTATAAAGGTTACCAGTATCTGGTTGGGGAGAAGGCCCTAGACCCTCAATGCCGAAAGCCTCTTGAGAAGCTCAGCATCTCATCACCACTTGTCTCTGGGCCAGGCACGCCAAGTTGATCTGACGGATTTTCACATCCGCCTCCTCTCGTCCCGACGGATTTTTGTCCGGATGCCATTGCAAGACGAGCTTTCGATAGCCTCGGAGTCAGATGTTCTGGCTACCACCAGGAGGTAGGCAGGGGTACTCTCAGCCTGTGGACGATCGTGCTTGTTTCGTGTTTATTTGGTGGGCCCGTAGGGTGTAGACAGTTTGTCCACGGCAGTCTCTCGTGCTCTCAATATCCGTACTGTATGTGCTACACGCAGAAAACGAGCCGGCTCACCCAAATCTCTTATCCAGCTTGAGGCTCATAAGGGCAAGGAGGTTGCGCAAGCGCTTCTCTGGCTGGCTTCCGCAGATTTAGCATCCTTTCCCCTTCCAGACTAGCAAAGTCAATGTGGTTCCCTCTTCCGGGGCTAAGGTACTCTTTCAATATTCAAGTTGTTCACCTGCATAATTTGAGAATGCCCTGAAAACCTAAGCTGCAGGCTATCCTTATGGTAGGGGCACCTTGTGTTGTCTTAACTCTTGAGCGAGGCGCTCTTCTTGATGGCCGCATCGTCTGCTCGGAGATCGATGCCTAGAACCTCGGGTGCATCTTGGAAGCTACATCCCGTTCAAGAGGCTCATCCAAAAATGAAGGACTTCTGGGGCTCTGCCAGGGCAACGTCCAAACCCGAAAGCCCGACTGTAAACAAGCGATCCGGAACACACCCATCCCAACGTCCCAATACCCACCATTCCAACGACTCCTCAGCCACTCTCCCAAAACTGGGACAACCTCCTGCAAGAGCCGGAGACCCGCCCTCTTCTGCCTCATAGTGGTTTGGCGGCTCATTGCTGGGCTTCGCCACAGCTTTGGGCGTGGTGCCTTCAGGCAGGGAAGCCCACACAATTTCAGGGAGAGATACATCCAGCCCATCGGCTTCAGGGAGTTCAGGGAGGAGGTTGGAGATTCTCAGTTAGATTCAGCTGGGCTCAGCTCTGTTCCTTGCAAGGCAATTTTAGGCAAGACATCTTCTGGACACCCTGAGAAGGCCAATCGCAAATCTTGACATGGCCTGGGGTGCATCTCACCGACTCCCATTCCCCAACTTCTACTTAACACATGCGCTGAGCTTAGCCCACCAGGCTACCACAAAACAAGCCGAAACCCAAAAGCCTCAACCTTGCAGTAACGGCCCAGTTGGCCCTCTCAACCCCCTGCAGGCACCACGTCAAAAGCGCATGAAAACAAAACAAACAAATCAGGCCTACATCAGGCCCCTCAGGCTTGCCCAACACTGCCCGTGACTACCCTAAACTACAAAAGCTCTGAGCCCGATGAAGCCTGATCTCCTGAAACCTGATGCCCCATTCTTGCCGACCCTTGCAAAACCGAAGTCCTGTCATGCCACTCTCACTCTCGACATGTCTCGACACTCTCCAAGACTCCCGAAGATGCTCAAAGTCTCACACCTCCGGCCTTTCGCAGCCGCCGCCTTCTCCGCGGCCCTCGCCCGGAGTTCCAGGAGCACATCTACGGTCCTCATCGCGATTCGAGACCGAGAGAGCCCCTTATGAACCTTGGAGGCGCTGACATCGCTGAGAACTCAGAGAATTCTCAACGAACATCTTCGTAACTTGAACTAGTATAAAGCCTGTATCTAACCTAAGATGCCTCGAAACCCTGAGTTGCATCAACCGCTGGCATCCGTATCAACCGCATCCTGATTCCTTGTTCCAGAAAGCAGCCTGCGCGGGCGAACAAGCTGAATGTAAAGACTACCATCAGCTGGAGATGCATGCAGCACCCTTCTCAACCAGCGTGCCTTCTTAAATCCCAAAATCCCACAACCCTAGATAAACCAGACATATGAAACCCATCTGATCCCCTAAAGTTGGTCCGCGGAGGCATCCCAGGGATGTCCACGGGCATTCCCGCCCGGACAACCTCAGTGGAGTGCTTCCAGGGATCACGGCTTGCGGAACTGTTGTGGGGCCGAAGCTGTTGAGGACTCAGGGCTAGGGGAGCTGAGGTTTTGATTAGTCTGTTAGGGGCTTGAGGCGTCAGCTCAACTTCAGGGCAGAATGCCTGAACAGTGTCACGCTTTCAGGAATTGGGACTCGGATCTCTCCTAAAGCCCTCGGATACAGCAAACACCAGCCCCCCTGAACAGTTTCGAACCCATACAGTACCTGCCAAAATTTGGCTACCAGTTCCCCACTTCCGAAAGCGTTAAAATCTGAACAGACACTGCGCCCTCCCATCCTCCCACACCCCCGGCAGGTGCGAGGATCACACTCCAGGGACTGGCACGGGATCGGGCTCCGCCTGAATTTGTGCTTGACAGGCTTGAGCTGCGAATGTGGATTTAGGACATCGGATATACGTTACTCCGTTATTGTACTCCATTTGAATTTGGCCAGGTCGGCGCATCACACAGAGACGCACACGACAGAGGTGCACGTTCGCGTGTCAAAGACCTCCCTGTATCGGATGCTTTAAAGGTCCAGGGTGAGGCGGGTGGGGCTTGGCACTCACGAAGCCACGCGGCAACGAGCTACTGGTTGTACTAACGACTGCGATTCAAACACCAAATCTCGACGTTGACCCTTTCTTAGCTTCCAATTCTCAGTTGACCGTTCTTGCACCTCTGGTCAGGTGAAAGGTCTGTCTTGCAGGGTTCTGAAGTTGGACAGAGCCCCCGGGACATTTATGTCTAGAATCAAGTTGGCGAACCACGAACACACGGCATGTCATGTGCGTCATCTATGGTTTCCTTTGCTTTCTTCCCAACTTCGGCGGCGCGCGTTCTTCTTTGGTACGTATGTTTTGTTGTTCGTTTTCTGTGTCTCTGCGTGTGTAAGCAAGTATGGTTCTAGGTCTGGCCATGCCTTGGACTCCTTCCAAAAGCAGCAGATATTTGGATAAAGCTGCGTTCCATACACCTCAAAAGCGAGCTATTTGGGAGCCCAGCGGTTCGCTCTTTCTCTTCGCCCTTCTGGAAGAGCAGCTGCAGCAAACTCCTGTCCTTGGTTTCGGTGAAGCTTCTTTGATGCAAGGTGTGGTCGTTTTGTTGAGATCGGTTGCGAGGCCACCAAGGCAGGACAAGAAGATGCTGGAAGCAAGAAACCGGACAGTCTCGCATGCACCTGGCACGCCTTCGCCCACGAGAATATGATCCATTCCATGGAATCCCATCCCTTATGCAAGATCAACAAAACCACAATAGCCCCTAATCCGATCTTTCTGTACCGTTTAATTAAGGCATTCTTTTGTTGGGGTGCTTCAGTATTATCAAATATGCAGTGGAGAATACATAAACCGCTACCACCCACAGATGCGCAAAACGGCTCTGAAGGCTGTTGTAGGGGCAGTGCCTTGATTTCCCTAACCATCGCTTGTGCGTCGCCACTGACGCCGTTGACCGAGATGACCTTAGATGGTTCAAGGCCCTCTGCGCAAACCATGCGCTTTGAAGGGGCCGATATCCTCGAACCTTTCCCGCACACACTCGGAACCCCTCCTAGTGCCCATGTGATCTGTTCATAAAGCAAGTTTGTGGCTGGAATCCCGGACCCGAAGCTGGGCGAGCTACTCTATATCTTGAACGCGGAAAGCCTCAACGCTCAACGCCCTTCTTCCGATTCCGAAAATCCCTGGCTTTCAGTCTGTCGAGTTCCTGACTCGATCTCCAGGCTGTACAGATTTCGTTGGATTCTCTTTGTTCCAGTCGCTGACAGCTCCGGCCAGGATAGCCTGATAGCGGGTTTCGACCAGGACCGGCATCCCCCCGCCGAACCCCGAAACATGTCTTCTCGACATGGGCACTTTAACATCCTAAAGCCTGCAACTCAAAGCTTTCTTCAGAGCTTAGGGGACGGGTTTGAAGCGCTGCCTCTGGGACAAGCCAGGGATTGGGGTGTATGAGTGTTTTTTCAAGGAAGGGTATAGGGGCTTCCTTGTGGCTTTCGATTAGGCTGTGCCATGGAACGTTCACGTCGTGGATGGGTGATGCTGCAATACTTGTCGGATTCTCATCAGCCTGTGGATGTTATCTCTTACTTGCCTATAGTTGCCCAACGCTTGGGGACCGCTTTATCTTGCCCAAGAATGTAGAATCTCTGTACTCTGTACTAAGCATATGCCCGTGTAGCTCAGACGCACAAGCCTTGATGTAGAGCGTCTTGCCGTCGCTCCAATCAGCGTCCACTCCCAGGCGGTTGTTGCCTGAGATTGTGACCGTCACCTTGGACTTCAACGAAGACGCTTCGTGCCAGCAGCTTCTTGCAGCGTTTGCAACAGATGTGTGGGAAGTTGTTGGGTGAAAGAGAGCAATTGTCAAGACAGTCGGGTTCCTTGGAGCAGTTGGCTTGCCACACGTGATTGGTCATGATGGGAAGCACGCTGAACTGAACAAGCGCACGTTAAATTTCATACGTTTTGCTTTCAGCTCATATAGTTGATGGCCGCAAGTTCTCTGCCTGAAGACAGAACTCACAAAATCAAATGATTGCCAAGCCCTGGTCAGACACTAAGGCCTAGCCCAAAAGACCTAAATACTTTAAAAGCCTTCGAAATCCTATTCAAAGCCACAGCCCCCACAAACTGGCTGAAAAGCGGCACATGCTACTTCCCTGGCGCGAGAATTCAGGAACTCGGGGGAAGGCTTGTTTTGGCATCTAGGGCTAGGGGCTTCAACCTTCTGCATGGGGCTCACAGGGTGTTACCTTCAGCTTCAGCTCTTCCACCCTGGGTTCTTTCCGGTTCCAGCTCTGTGACATGTACGGCAACAATAATTAGGGCAGGTCATACAGCCTACGACCGGCTTTCTTTTGTCGGGGTGAACCGCTGGCTTGTAAGACGATCTAGCCGCACCTGGAGTAGTTGTCGGAAGCGTCCAAAGCTAGGAATAAAATTCTCGTCAACCCAAACTCGACGACTGTCTTGCATGCAGATTACATACTCACCGTCTCCTACTATGATTAGCATTCTTAGGGTAAACTTGTCAATCTTGAGAAGTGCTGTGACGTGACCTTAATGTGCAAGGTAGAGTCGATCATAGACCCTTACAACTATACGACGTGGACATCACATCCACGCTCTCAGCAATCAGAGAAAGGCCGAAGCCAATCCTCTACCCGTTGGAGCACGGCACCTTGCTCATCTTCACATGGCTGCAGACTCGCCGGAGCTCTTCGGCGGAAACGCCGGAAATTGCTGCCATTCAATGACCCGGTACATCACCAAGAAGCACTTAATCAGCGACCTCTTTCGAAACCTTAAACCGTAAACGCTGAACCCGAAACGCCCTAAAGACCCTCAACAACTGGCCCTGAGCTCACAGCCATCCATTGATTTGACTTCGTAGCCGCCATGTTGGCGGCAGGCCCCTGGGTTTCAGGGAAGCTTTGAAATATAGGGCTCATCTACCCAGGAAGTCTACGTATAGTGTGGGAGATCCTTTCTTCTGTATATTAATAATACGTATATATGAAGTTTATGTTTCTGACAATTTTGATACACTTCACGAATTTTCAGGGTAAAGTTGAGAGGTTAGATAACTGTTAGAGATCTATACAATGCTACTTTGAAGGTAACATTCATACAATTTTTACTCTAATTAAAGGCAAACCTGAAAAAGCTTCTAACTCATGTCGGCCCTGAGAAATGAACTGCGAGGCTGTGAACCGGCATGAGCTCTGCAATCCCCCATTGAGCGCGCGGCCGGCGTCCTCCCGCGCAGGGGCTCGCGGCCGCCCCGGCCCACGCTGGGAGCCACCAAGGAGGGTACAGGGGGCTCTGGGGATTCAGTGTGGCTTGGTGTAGCGCAGGTATTTCGGCATTCAGCATCGCGAGTTGCAGGAGTTGTCTTCTCTAACAGCAGCTGTCCACCCCAAAGCTTGCAAGCACTCCCAGTAGATTTGTGCAACACTTGAAGCCCTTCGAATGCAGCCCGGCGCTGGCTTCTTGGTGCTTGGAAATAAAGATATGAGGTCCAACATCTTTGCAGGCTACAAACCCATCCTAAACCCTGGACCCCCCTGACCCGACCCCGTCCCGCAACGCAATTTGTCTCCACATCCACGGGCAGTCTGCCGAACCCTCCAGGTGCCACAAAAGAACTGCACTGCGGTTTGCCATCTCGGTGCGATGTAGGGGGTCGCCAGATCCTAGTTATATCAAATGCTGCGTGTGAAGAGCTAGTAAAACCGATGGAACGCTTCCCAGGCAAGTGCTACAAATTCTGCCCTACATACATTTCGGCTGAGAAACATGCAGGGCTGCCCCCAAGCATGACTCCTGAAGCAGCTTCACGGACTCACAGGTCGGCGGAGTTTAGTAGGGTGTTTGGGAACGATGACCTCAAATTTCCGCACTGCAGTCGTCGAGGCAAGTGGAGTTCTACTACACAGTGAGCTTTGACAGCTCGCTTCCTGGCGAAAGCCACCAGGTGGAGCCTTGAAGCACCGGTCTTGTGTGTGTGTGTGTGTGTGTGTGTTTGTGTGTTTTTTTGGAGAGACTTGGGGATGGAATTTGAGCCCCAAACCTTCCCGGTGAGCCCATTCAGTTGCTAACGCTGAAAGACATCCAAAGCAAGCAAAACCAAAGCTCAACCGCAAATGTTCCTTGCCGTGCCAACAAAGGGTTCAGCCCCACCCTGCAAACCCTCACAAACCTGGTTCTGGTAATCGTAATGACTGTTAGGGAAATGCTGCAGCTCCTTCTGCAATCTACTTACTTAGTTGCCCAACATGCCAGGCGCAAATATAAGTGTAATAGTATTGATGCTTTGGTTATTGGACTTGCACAAACCATACTCGCCCGTCCTTTAACAATTCAAAAGGAACCCAGCAGACTCGGCACCCCGCAGGTCTCAGCTGGCCGAATCTTTCGAGGCGCACTGCGACACGAAGCTGAACCCGGCCTACACCATGGCTAGAGAAGCGCAGAGGCCGTGTTCCTTTCTGAAAGGCTTTGCGGTAAATTCACCCTCGGCAACTGCGGGCGGTGCCAGTTGGTGGCGCGACGCCCTGAACTTGCTAAGCCTTCCCTTCCTACTCTGCTCTCGTTTCTGTTGTGTTTCCAACACGGAGCCTTGGGGCCTCAAAGCCACAAGAGCAGTCCTCGGGTCCGAGTGCCTCCCTACGATAGATTCCGAACCTTGAGAGGGGAAACCGTCTCAAACAACTTTCAAGGGGCCAACGGATGCCAACGGTTCGTAGAGCACACAAACAAGCAAACCAACCAGGACCCAAAGCCCAGGGTTCCCGAACAAACAGCAGCAAGCACTCACAGACTCACTCGACAGATTGCAGCCTCATACGCGAACTGCGAGGTCACTCACAAAATGGCACAAAAAACCCAAAAATCTCTTCGGGCAGCTAGCTGCACACGCAGTGCAGAGCAGAAGCCCGCTCCCACCCACCCCTGTAGCCCTTTACAGCGTCATTGAGCCCCCAGGAAGGCCTGCTCAAGCTTCTCCTGGACGGAGACATACCTGCGAGGCCGCGCAGGATCAGCAACAGCATGGGTCAAGTGCTGAAGACTGACGACTTGAGCGAAACCCTATGCATGTAGCCCTACCCAAGAACCCTGTACTCTTGAAATATCCCGCTTTTGCCCTCAGCCCTAAGAAGAGGCGGCTGCTCGGCTGAGACTTTTTGTGCAGTCGAGCGGCTGCTCGATGGTGGTGAGGACGACTGCGCCCCTCTTGTAGTCCTTTTAGTCCATTTGGGTGCGGGACATGGGGCTTTGATTCGACCTCGCAGCACAGCAGGCATTTGTGGGGACAAAGCCTTGGGGAGTGGCTCTGGGAATTCGCATCACATAGTATTACTTAGTATTACTGTGCAGGGAAGGAAGGGCTGAGTTGAAAGGATGGAGTCGTTACCCCCCCCCCCCTTCCCTTTCCCTCGAGCAGCGACGTCCTCAACCCTGAAAGCTAACGTGCTAGAACCCCACAAGCTTTTTACCAGGCTCACCATCCGTTTATTCAAGAGAAGCTGAAAGCCATCTGCATCCACACAAGCCGGGGAAAGCCATGCCGTGGATGCGTTCATTCCGAGGTTTAGTGCTATGCAAGCAACATCCTACATGCACCCCTGCCACCCCTGCCATCATGTTACGTGGCGGGTGAGGGGAGAAGGAAGCACTCGAGTCCTCCATGGTGCTGAGGACTGCTCGCGCCAGAACGGAGGCACGCTCCTTCCCACTGTTTCACAAGTGCACAAAGCCAGCCTATGCAGTAAACTGAGACAAGTCTTGCCGGGCTGGGGTTTAAACATTTTCCGAGCTTGCGACTTGTGCATGACGGCTGAACATCCAGTGGCAAGACACACCAGCTACGCACATATTCCCGAAAACATGACCCCTTCCATCTTCCTCCCTAACTCGAGATGATGCCCGTGGAAGTTTGGTGTTGCCGTCCCCAGGCCTCCTGCTGGCTAAGGACCTCGGGGCCCTCCTGCTTCAGGTTTTCTATCAGCCTGCAAGACGCGTTGCAGTGAGGTAGGCTTCATGGGAGTTTGCTCCCCCGTTCGTAGCACGCAGGTCACGTTTGCCCACTTTGGAGAGAAAATGCCGTTGGGGCACAGCGCACCACGCTTTAGCTGAAGCTCCCCCAAATTAAGCCAAATCCTTACCTCATCCGAATCTATCCGAATCTGACGGTCTGGGCAGTAGGCAGCTTTGCGCCCTTTATTGTTAGGAATTCGGGAAATTGGGCCAGCGGTACCTGTTGCACTCTGCTCGGCCGTCGTGGGCCCACTTGTCAAAGACCTCGCCCCGCCGGCAAGTCAAGGATGGAGTGCTTCCAGGGACAAAACGTTGCAGATTTTCGGACCTTTTTCAAGGGACTGCCCCTCAGGAACCCCAGAACACGGAGCATCAACATTTTTTCCCGGTGGGCTTTTTGGCTCTCTTGAGGGCTCAGAGCTTAAGACACCCTCGAGAGCCCTTGGCCTCCATCTCCACTTAACCGGCTTAATCCCTCCTACCCTCCCAACACGACCCCTGCCTCGCGTACATGCTTCTCTGCTCTCTGCAACGCCACGTTCATGTCATCACCTGCGTCAGGAGACCTTCAACTACGACTCTGGACTCTGGACATTGCATTCGGTGAGAGCCGGGACGCCCGAATCCAAATCACTAGAGTCTAGAGTCACAGCAGTGCCAAAGTCTTATCTACCCTTGAGGACCCTCCCGTGTGTTGAAGACCAGCAAAACATCTCCCACAAAACAGCTGCCAAGTACCCATATGACCCGGGAAAGTTCGGAGCCTGCAAAGATTCTACACTATATGATTTGAAACTTCATTTGTAGTATAGTATAGAGCTTGAGAACCAAGTCTGGATTGGGAGGCTTACCAACCTCTGCAATGACATGAACACAGAAATATTCTTGTCTTGTTAGTATGAAAATGGGTGCGCAAGATGTGAAACTTAGCCTTTCAAATTTGTGACTTAAATACCTGTCTAGAGATATTCTGAGCATGAATGTACGGGTACATCTACTTGACAAGAATGTACTCTTTAATTAATGCAGCAATATTCTTTGTCAGATGTTTTGTCCGTGTTGTTAAGAGCCACAGTGCAAAACAAGTACCATCAAATATACATACTGCTGTAGAGAGCGACTCTGGCTCTGAGAGTAGGGCATGTCAGAGAAACCCCATTGGTCCAATTTCCCTGAATCGTGTCCATCCCAATTCAGTTCAAAAAACCACTCACGAGCCCCTGAGGTGACGGCTCGAGAGCTGTCCCTTCGTTCTCTCTTCCTCATTCGGGTCGAGGCTTGCTTCGAAGCCAGGCTTTGGGGGGCGACTCGGCCACAAGAGCCCACAATCCCGAAGCCCCGCGCCAGCTGCAACAATCCCGGCATGGTGCCCTTGGTGAACAGCTTACACAGCGGACTTGTCACGGGCTTAGCACATGTTCGGTGCAGTGTGAAGCTCCCCGGAAACTCCTGACAACTCACTCCTGCATCTGAAACAAGTTTTTGGAAATTTCTCTCAACCTGAAACCGCCCCCTGGTAAGGAGATCGGGGTCCTCTAGCAACTCTCGGGCTGCTTGCTGTGCGATTTGTATCACCTGCATCGTGTGGGTGTGGCCGGTGTGGCATGGCTTGGCTGCACAAATCAAAGGCTTTGGGCTGAAAGCTCTGGGGCCACCGCGACTCCCATCTCAACCGTGACAAGTGTGGGAACTGGGGCTTGGCATGAAGGCATTCTAAACCCCACGCAGGTGCACCAACTAAAGGCGAATTGCAGCTTAGGGTATGGCGTTGGAACCTTGGTAAACAAGAACATTGTCGCTGTTTCTTCGGAACATGCACAAAATCTCTTTTACATGTATGTTCAGTTCAAGATCCCCCTTAATTAGTTTTGGGCTACCGACCCTCAAAGCGGTGCAAAGCCAGCATCGGGATTTTACGCATGGCATTGGCATGTGCAGCAAAGACTTGGCGACTGAGTTCTGACTACGCAGTTGCCGGCTGCCGGCTGGCTCTGCGTCGGGCACGCCCGGTGAGCCCAGTCTGTATGGGGTGCACTTGTCTCAGAGTCCTGGGCCCAGCTTGACTGTGAGAATCTTCCTCAAGCCGACACGGTCATTCCAAATGCCTCCCGGGTCTCCTGTTTTTCCTGTACGCCCCGGGCGTGGCCCCGAAGAGTTCAAGCTCCTGGACTCTGACACACAGCGATCCAGCTGAAGTTCGCAAGATGGGAGAAGCAGCCTCGTGTCTGCTGATGCTGTGGGATTAGATGGATTCCAATCCAAGGTTCGGGATTAAGAACTCATCGGGCTCCAGATCAAAGCTATAGCTTCTCCATGCTGGTTCTGCATGGTGCGGCTTCACGACGCAAAATGTCCATGGAGACCACTACAGATGAGGGCAATTCTGGCAACTGGACCCCTTCAGGATTCCATTCAGTCGGAAGTGTTGACAGAGATCCAGCGGCATGCTTCTCCCGAGCTTCGTGCCGAACTCCAGCTTCCGCTTTTAGAAACCCTTAAAGGGTATTTTGCGGCCTCTGGTGGCGCAGGCTTCAACAATTTTTTGCAACTTGAGCCGCAGCAAACACCAGAGGACTTTCAAGGCTCGGCCTCTCTGGGGCCCTTTGGAACCCAGGGGCCATGTAACAGGTCTGTGCATATCCGCTCAACGCGCGCCCCCCCCCCCCCCCCCCAAATTCAAAAAAAGTAGACAACAACGTGTCTCTACTGGCCTTTACAAGCCCAAAGCCCATAAGCACGACTGGCCGCCCCCCCTATCGCCCCCTTCCGAAACAAACGGCCGAACGGGCCATGCAGCCTCTGCGCATCCCGGTTCAAAGGCGGGATCTTGGGGCACAAGGTGCTGAAGGCAGCTATCATGGTTTCAGGTCTTGTCGGCTTGAGACTTTACGACCTTCTTTGAGGGCTCATGCTTAACATGATGAGCGCGTAAAGGCCTCTTTCTGGGACTTGTGGGGCTTTCACCCGTTAAATGGTTGTAGTGTTTGGGCCTTTAGGTGGTTGGGGGCATAAAGGGTTTGAACCGATTTCGGGGGCTGCTTTCCAGGGCTTGTGGAGTTCGGGCCACCTCCCTCACCAGAGGCTGCATCCACTGTGGTGTGCCACACTTACGATTGTTGCAACTGAGACCGTCTGGGAGTCAGAAGTGTCCTGTACACCGTGTGAAAGCTCAGGGGCCTTCTGCCGAAAACGACTGGAGTGACACAATTGACACAGATGCTGCAGAAGCAAGCGGTGATCGATTGAAGACGACACGGCCATCCCTCTGTCAGCCTTACTTACAAGCTTGTTAGTTGAGTCCATTTCAGTGTCCCGCCGAATCTATCCGGAATTGTGAAGTTCAGGGCAGTTTGGGATGAAACGACGCCCTTCACCTGGGGCGGCTTGAGTAGCTCAACCCCCAACCCCCTGCACTCCTACGAAGCTCTTCTTTCTTGAGCCCCTGTAAAGGTCTTTGGAATCCCTGCAGCACGGCTTGTGGAACGCTAGGCCCGAGCTATCCACACTGGATCTCGTGATCTTCATGACCGACGCCTGTGCAGCCTCTTCCGCTGCAAGCAACCAGGCCCCTAAAGACTCAGAAGAGTGCTGGTGTTCTCAACCTTGGTGAGCAGTGTTGCCATTCTTCCTGTTACATTATGCGAACTCGAAAACTGCTACCACTTGCAGCAAAGTTTCCTTTGAAAACCTGGGTGGTGGCAACTCCAGCTCGGCCTGCGGTACAGAACAGAGGACCGAAACAACTTATGAAACTGCGCCGCGTGTTCCAAACACCACAATTGAGAGCTCAAAGCCCTCCAACCAAGTGGCTGCGCCTGGGACTACGGCAGGATGCGAGGATGCACCCAAAGGGGTTTAGGGTTTGGAGGGAGCTGCCACTCAAGAATTCCAAGAAGTCCAACAACATACATCCAATTACCCGAGCGTGCCCCCCCGAACAGGGCCAGGAGGCCATGAGGAGGATGAAGTCCTCTCGGCTGTGCGTCAGCCGTGGGTTGAAGGCCTCTTGGGCTTTACATGGAAGAAGGCTTCCTTGAGCGCCCTTTTTCGGCACTGTTAACGGGAAGGGCTGGGGCCATGTTGTACAGCAAAAAACTACCCAGAATGCATAGACCGTGGCCTTCGTTTGGAGTTGAAACCAAGGCGGCTCGACTACTGGGCTGACAGGCTTTCAGGCCTTCAACTCTTTTAAGGCCACTTGAGGATGCAGGCTTCTGCACGATTGGAGCGGAGACTCGGGACCCCCGGCCCCGGCAGACCTTGAAAAAGTGAAGCTTAGAGCTTCGGCCTTCTCTTCCCCCACAGTGGAGTTGTTCCGCCCGCTGTATTCGTGACCTGAGAAAGGTTTAGGGCTAAAATTGATACTGCGTGGGGCTTTCTGGGAACTTTCGGTATCAGCGGTTCGAGGCAAGTCGGTGCTGCCCGCGATCGTTCGGATAGTTCGGCGATGCTGCCGATGCTACAGTCACAGGCCTCGTGGGTTGAATGCTTCTGTGTGAGATTTTTGCAATGGCCTTGCAGCCAACGTTCACAAGACATCGGTCAGAGATGATGGCCCTCGATCACCCTGCAATCAAAGGCTTTGTAGGCTGTATGGTGACATTGTTCAACGCCGGGGTCGGTTGAAGGGTTGCGGAAAGCCTGTAACTGTAAGTACCGCCGTGAGGGCCCTGCCAGGAAAGATCTGGGTCTCGGAATCGAGGCTGAAAATCTCGCGGTGAACGCTGTCGAATAACTGTCCAGCATTGCCTCGCTTCCACGATGCTTTCGAAGGGAATGCTTCCATGTCATGGCTTCCGATGGCTTCAGCTTGCCAGCTTTGCCCAAAAAAACTCTTAGTTAGTTTAGTGCAAACGGTCTCTAGGTTCGTACCTTCGCTCGATACGTCAATCCATCGACATGTGTTCGTCAACCATGAACGACCATGGCGACGAAAAGCTACTGTGAGGCGGTCGGGGTGCAGAGGCTTCCTTCGTTGTTGCATCCTGGGACTACTGGAGCCCTTAACATTTGAAGAGGATGAGTTGTTGAACCATGAAGCTGGTCCATGCCTCGGACCACTGACTACTTCAATCACAGACGACCACGTGGATGCCAAAGCCTGTACGCCGCTTAACACTACTCCTAGACAAAAGACAGGCGAATGAAATACCCAAGTGCCTACCTAGCTCGCCTAAAGGTTCCCGGTTTTGGCGGCGCCAAGTCACCCTCCTTGAAGTCAGTTCGGCCTGGGGACTTCGAGCTGGGGCTGTACTGGGCTTTGCTGCTGGTTGTTTCTCACCTGCATAGCTGAGCCTAGAGCTGACACTCAGGCAACACACTGCAGGGCCGCACACTGGTTTAGCTGTTTCGACTCTCACACTTGCACATAGCAAGCAAGGGCAGACCAAAGGGGAACCCCAAGTGACTTGCATGAACTCAGATTTCAGGGTGCAGCATACTAAGTTCCCCCCAGGACAATTAAAGCCCGACCAACGGAGTTTACTTTGCGAAAAGTTTAGTCGTCAAGGTCCTCGCTGCATGCTTTGATGACACAGACGGGTAGATCCCAGCTACATTCAAAATATTCAAGTATATCAAATACAAGAGCATGCGGCGTCCAAATGTATTTTCTTGACCACGCCATGGTCCCATTCTCCAGGTTCCGAATTGATGGAGTGTAAAGTGGCCTTTGGAAGGATTGGCCGAGCCCGATTGCCAGGAAGGCCATCCAACCTGCCGCACTGAAGTTTCATAAGGTGCTGATCTGCGCAAGTCCACCGAACTCGAGCACGTTCGCGTGCACATCGATGCCCTTTTCTCAGTATCAGGCACCCCACTTCAGAAATCAGTTGATGGATTCCGAGAAATCCGGACCGCAATGCTACGAGCCGCAAGGCGAGATAATCCAAGAGTCAGTGGTTGGCTGAAGTTGCTCCTGTGATTCAAGAGGCTGAGGCTGGCCATTGCGGTTGCCGAGGGCTTTATCGCCGTATCGCCCTCATTGCGTGTGACTGCCACTGTGTTGTGCAAACACTTTATCCCATTGTGCCAACTTTTATCTTGATTGACATGGTCCACCCAGAAGGATGCCGCAAGCAGGCTGATGACACTGGCAAGCAGTAGACACCACTGGAGTCAAGGCCACAAGCCGTACTGAAGCAGGAGGAAACACATTGCCCCACGTTGCCAGCCAAATTGCAAAACACAACCTTGACAATGCATACACATTGCATCGCTGCACGGACAAACACATGATCCAACCGAATTACCACAATCGAAAGCCCGTGTGATTGAAGCGATATTAGCCCTGAAACAGCAAATGCGCAAGGCAGAATGAAGCAGAGTAGCCGCAGCTGCGGACCAAGAGCGCATCGCCCGTAAAGGCCACCTCCACATGGTTGGGGGGGTGGGCTCTGCGAAGGAACCCGAAATCCACCTTTTGCAACACAGTGACAAGGAAGAAAGCGCCTTAGGCTCTCCGGGTCCCCTGAGGATGTAAGTCAGGCAGCCGCTGGTGTGGCCTCAACAGATTTATGGTGCGTAAGCGCTCGCAGTAGTCATGAATCTGGTTCTTGGCAGGGAGCCAGGGGTCTACCGGGCGACATATATATGGTACATGTATATACATTATGTATGTACATATGCTTAAGGTACCATGCAAATCAATAAGTTTCGGGGAGTGCGCAGGGTGAAGATCCTATCCGACTTCTGGCTGCCACTCTTTCCCTCCCAAGGTTCCTCTACCTGTCACATCCTGGCAGTGAAGTGCAGCTTTCTACACGAAGGACAAACCTCTGAGCGGGAGCTTGTGGATTGCATGTTGAATTATAAGCACTTTAGGTCCAACTTTAGGTGCTTGTATACGGCCCCTCTGTGTGTGCGTGTGCTTGGGCCAACAGGCTCGTCTCCTCAAGAAGGATAGCTCTCAACATGTCCGTCCTGTCGTTAGCTGCACATGTCGTAGCAGCTTGGTTGTACTATGCAGGACCCGACTGTCGTATGCACACAAGAGAGCGCACTTCGCACAGACATCACACGGCCGAGTACACGCAGAGCTGACAACACACACACTCTTGCTTGCAAGTGGCTTTCCCCTGCAAACATCCTCATTGCTTTTGCTGGGATCTGGTGCTTCCTACTCGGCATGTTTTCACCAGCCAGATACGGGAACAGTGAGCACAGAACCGGAAAGCTGGTTCAATAGTTGAGTTCTTAAGTCTAATCCCTCTACAGCCTTGACCCGAGCCCCCTCCAAGCGCACCTGGTGTTTCCCGAACTTCGAGCCAGTACTGCCCAAAGGTCACCGTACTTCCCTGTGAGAGGAACCTGGGTGGCAGGATTCTGCTCCAGGTGCGATTTACCCAATAATGGCTCATCAACGCCAAGATGACCTGAACGCCTTGGAGGCTGCAACCCTTACATGCCCGCCTTGGGGATGACCATCGACCAAGTCCAGTGGCAAGCGCACCACGACACATTATTGTAGTTCCTCTTACTTTTTTGGGGGAAGGGAAGAGTACCTAAAGTTCTTTTGAAAGATGACCCAACACACAATGCGCTCTATGACTGCGACTAGAGCGAGCCACACCCATCGGGCTATTCTTTTTGCATCTGTGATGCTCATCTGCCGCAGCACCGGAAGCTTTGGAGCTCAAGAGCGGGACGTGACGAAGCTTCTTGATCACGTCGCTCCCTGGACAAGCTCTGTGGCCAAAGATCCATGACTCTACTTTCCTGCTGCGACGCAATAGAATGAAATAGAATGACAGACTGCCATGTATCCATGGAAACTTGCAGGCAGCATCGGGGCTCAGAGCGAGCAGAGGAACTTCGGCAATTGAAGCATGGTTGAGCAGATGGACACAGAAGTCTGAAGCAAGCCCCTCAAGGAGGCGCCAGAAGCGGACCAAATGTCACAGGCACGGCGCCTGTCATGTTCACGTGGTCGTAGTGACCTGCCCAGCGCAGCACCCACTTCTGAGGGCGGTGCAGCATTTCAAGCGCAAGGACCCCCCGCGATTGAAAGAAGGGAAGAGGATTGGCCCACGAGAGCGGGCGCTGGAAAATTTGGGCTAGTTGAAAACCACAGCGCTCTCGAGAAGCAAAGACACCAGCTTCTGTGAACTCCTAGTCTCCTAGCACAGTCCTAGATTCTAACAATTACGTCTCTGAGACCCCGGGGCTCCGGCAATGCGTGTTCACGACATACTTGAGATGAAGTCCTGACTCCTCGGCCGAGAGCTGCTTCGAAGAAGGTCGCCGAAACAAATTTTTGAAATCGTGCGACACCTTGCGACCTTGGTCCTGCTACAAGTCAACCACTCTACCAAGCCTTCACCACCGAACCCTGGCAAACATTCCGTATGAGCCGAAGCTCCTCGATGAGTTCGAGGTCTCGCTCCGTCCGGCTCGCCTCCGGATCTATCAAGATTGCTTCCTGCAGGTCGGGGCACGAGAGTACAGCATCTGAGGTCTTACAGTTGCTGCGTAGGCACCCTCTTTCTCCCAAGAATCGTGACAGCTTCGGTCGCAGGCGACACGCCGATGCATTCGGCACTTGATGGCACTTGGCTCGGGTCTCCAACATGTCGCTGGTTGGCGGTTTCTTGGGAGACTGAGGGTTTGGGCCAGAGCTCTCCATGCTCTCACGCTTGCGACGTCGGCTTATGCGATTCCGGCCGTGAAGGGGCTCAGCGCCTTGGTCCCAAATCCTCCTGTCCCATCCTTTCCCCGTAGATTGAACCCAAGTCCAACACAAGGGAACCCTATGGAAGTCGACTCACAGGGTCCATTTACCTCAGCATCTCAATCCTTGGTCGACTTGCAAGCCACGAGGTATGTGTTGCTGAAGGTCAAGGGCTCGAAGAACTGCTCTAACCTCAGGCAATGAGGCAGGGATGCCCAAGTTGAAGGTTCTGCGGCTGTGGAGGAAACTTGGAGTGGGTGGGCGTCGGCCGAGATGTGGGGGGGGGGGGGGGTCTTTCGAAGAACCTTTCCATAAGCAAGGTCACAAGCTCCCCTTGGTGAGGGCGTGCACACTGTTCGCGATCCATGGAACTCTCATGCTCTTTGCCATTTGCGCTTCGTTGCAGAAGCCTGAACCCAGATCCCGAAGCTCAATATCTAGAATCGGAGCTCTGGCACGAAGCAGGGTCACAATCCGTCCAAGCGGCAGGTAACCCGCACACGCTGGCTGCATCAGCTCTGGGCACTGCCTGGTGTCGTCGCGCAAGGATGGGATGCAAGGACCCAAACTCATGCCCTAATATTCTATAGTGCCAGTATAACCACTATAATACATCTGTACAGTGTGCTGCTAACAAAACAAATTGCTTGTCCGGTCTCTGCACTCGAAGGGTTCAGGCTTTGCGCCTCCGGCCTCGAAACCATGACTCCAAACTACATCCCGAGTGTTCCAGCACATTTTGGTCTGTATAAGCATTTGCTGCTACCACAGCGCCCGCCAACTCTCACAACTGGCTTTCGTGCTGGGGCGAATGCAATACTTCTACTGATGAGTCGAGAGTTATACGTCGTCTGTTCTTGAAACATTTTATGATTTCATGAATGGTATAGTCTAACCACATGCTCTGCTGACCATGCTTGGCCCCTTGTTCCGCTGATGAAATGAAGAAAGCAAATGCTACGCCGGGTGGCAACTCTGGCAGCAGCCAATCCCGGAGCCAGCCCGACTCCATCAATCGGTTGAGGCACTTCAGGTCCTCGAAGCCCAACCCTTGAGTCGCCATAGCCCTCTCATTCTTGCCCGAATCCCGGCAGGCCATCATCCCAAAACCGTTAAACCCTGATCTCAAAACTCTAACGTTTGCGGGCTCCTAAACTAATCGTATGCTTCGGGATCTAATTTCCCCGCCGGGGCGGGTAGCTGTAGCTGTGTATATAGCGGTCAGTATGATCACAAGGTAAGAAGTTGGAAGACCATCACATTGAAGTCCACTTCTGGTAGCCTTCTTCGCAACAGGCGTCCTCTGCCATCCGAAGAGCCGCTTCTGCGTTGTGGCCTGGCATAACATGCGCACGAGGCACAACCCCCCTTAAGCTCAAGCACTGGATGCTCTGAAGCAGTGCTGGACTCTAGATGTTCTGACCCTGAGTGCAAAATGCCCTCAAGACACACAGCCTTTGTCTCCACGGTGCCATGATGTGCCATGATGTGCCATGATGTGCCATGATCTGCCATGATGTGCTATGATGTGCTATGCTCCACCCTTGTTGCGGCACCCACGTCCTGCATTCTTCGCCCACCAAAGTGTGAGCAGCGCCGAAGATCTTGTGCCGGTGCTGCACCTTGCATACGGAAATTCGGCAAACGACTGAAGGATTTGTTTTCGCAGTTCAGTAGGGATTGTGGAATCAGGCTTCAGGGACGAACGGCAAGTGTGAGGTCTGGGGCACAGAGGCACCTATAGAAGGTACCGTGCGTTTAGGCCTCCAAACGGGACGCCGCGACATGTCTGTTGAATTTAGTATGTTTTCGACTGCTGCTGGTACTCTTTACACCTACTGTTATGATCTCCTGGTGCGGAGCACCCAGGAAAAGTAGAAAACAGGAAAGTTAGAAACGCGAAAAACAAAAAGAGCTGGCAAATGCGATTCGGGGCTCCTGGGACCTGGCTGGCCTGAAACACAATGCAAGAAACAACCCGGCAAACATGCGACCAGAGTGCAGGCAGAAGTTGATTCATTTTGCTTGCTCGCTTTTTGTCATGTTATTTGTGTTTTTCGTTGTCGTCTCATCTGCATGGTTTTGCTTTTGAACACGTATTTCCTGCGGCAATGAGTTTGAATTGAAATGTTTCATCGCTTTTTTGCTGCTTTACATGTTAGATTCGGTTGTTTGATGTCGCGTGCTCCAGGTCTTGAACCTACTGCCGACAATAGACGAATGTTCGGAATCTTCAGCCAAGTCTCCACACAGCGCATGCCTGCACACTTATGCCCTTCGTTCAGGAGGCCAGATTGGGCACTTTATGCGGGCAAGGTTCTGAATCATCAATGGTCTGGGCAGCTCAGTTACAGCGGCCAATAGCTGCTCTGTCTGCTCTGGAGGCACAGGCGGGCGGAAGAAGTCCAAAGTCTCCAGCCTCACGGAGGATCTGCGGACTCAGAAGCCTACGAACCGGACCACCGGACGCAGATCTTGTCCCCTCAAAGAAAGCAGACATGTTAGTGCTGCAAGGTGAAGGGTGTTTGGGCTGCTACGTATACGCCGTGCTACGCCGTGCGTCGCGAGGTCGAAATCATCTGGAACCTGCTTGAAAGGTAAAGGTGTGGCAGCAAGCTGCCTGCAGCCAGCTTTTTCGATGACGTCCCGCGGAAAGCCGACGGCACGATTCGAGATGCCTCAGCGCCGCATAACTAGGAGCGGAGATGACATGGAAGCCGCGGAATGGGGCAAACGTGCTTGCGCACAGGAGCCGCACAAGTCCCTAAACCAGGACGCCGACAATGCCTTCCCAAACCCCAGGTTCACACACACACACAGATAAATAGACTGACATATATATATATACATATATATATATATTTTCTACATATATATATATATAGATATAGATACGGATATAGCTATCGATATAGATAGAGATAAATGTGTATATAATATTTATATACCTATTTATTTATATGTGTGTGTGTGTGCATGTAGGCTTTTGCATGTTCCCAAGCACAATGCAGGCCTTGCAGGAAAGCGCGAGAAAAAACAAGACACTGATTACATCCGGGGTGCGAGGGCCAGCATGGAAATGAGAACCTTGGCAGAGCGAAACAAGACACTCGAGTTGCTGAGTCCTGGTTGCATTTTATCCTGTTGCTGAACGGTCGAGACCAGAAAAGAGGTTGTAGTGCTGCCCTACACCTGCGTTCCGACCAACAACACCCTAAGCTACCAAAACCCTTTTGTCCGCGATTCGATGGTTGTTTCGCATTTCCAGGATGTCGTGCGGTGCACTCGCACAAGAAAGGAGAGCTGACAGAAACCAAACAATACGCTGACGAAGATGAGAGAGATGGATGCGAGCATGCAACTATGTGAAAGCTTATTTTGTATTCCGATAAACCCATATAGTGTGCGAACCATCAGATCAATGTAGAGGGCGGATTCAGACCCCTCAGTCGCGTAGTCCCGAGCCCTGCGTACTTCGCGAAGCAGTCAATAGCCCATCAAACAACGCCTCTTGAGAACCTGCTGAGGAAGTGGCTGAGCCCCTTCGGATTCAGGTAAAGCCATGCCTTGTAGCGCCTCAGCTGCTCATAACCTACATAAAAGCAAGGTCCAGAATCCCACCCATGCCTTCGCACAACGCCGAAAATAGCGTTCCCATGCGTTCAGTTCTCTTGAGGTTACAAGTAAGTTAAAACCCAATACACTTGCTGAAACTTGATTACGCTAGATTTTATACTTGAAAAAACTGATTAAAAAAAAAAAAAAAACATCATGAGACTTTTCTCAGCCAGAGGATCGGTGCAAGGGCCGCAACGGTGTCTGCAGACAGCGTGCCCGCCTTGCAAAGCGACATCCGCTATGCAAGCGGAAGCAGTTTGAGGCCTCATGAGAACGTATCTCGAGCTGTAGACCGTGCTTGCAAACCTAGAATTCCCAAAGCCCCCAAGTGCATCTCGAAGGTACTTCGGCAAGCAGTCGACTAGGTCGATCCACAAGTGGGCGAGTTTAGGATGTGAAGGTGGGGGGCGGGTTCCTTTGAGGTCTTTGTGGGTAGGGTTCCTAGAACGAGGATACTATAATAGGTTCTCTCAAGCGTATACTTGGGGCACCCCTGTTTTCAGGGCATATTGCCCTGCTTCGTGGCATTCGCGCAATCTACAACCTGCAGAACAATTTGCCTGCATACATATACCACGTACCCAAAACAAACCAATGAAGACACGCTCCTTAAACCCCGAAGCAAGGCATAGTATGGCAGAGCAGTGCCAAAATAGCGCAACAAGTCAACAAGCCCCCGGAAAGTCGCGCCAGCGAGATGTTGCCCGGAACAGGGGGCCTTGGGCTCCCATGTGTAGGTTCTTCTGACTTCTTCTGGAAGCTTTTGGGGCTCTCCGATATCGGGGCTCGAGGAGTGGCTCTTGTTTTTTGTTCAAATCTCTTTCTCTCGTCGTCTCTCTCTCTCTCTCTCTCTGTCTGTCTGTCTGTCTGTCTGTGTCTTGAGGTCAGAACTAAACGAGTGGTTTCTTGGGGAGCCCTTGGGCCTGCTCATCGATTTACCTGAGGCATACGCGTGCAAAAGAAAAGCAAGCCAGCGCCTGCCTGCTGAGGGCGGCACGAAACCCCGGACATCAAGATAATTGAGGAAGGTGCTCCACACGTCTACCAATGCTTCTGAGGGCGATGGGAGGGAACTGGGATGTAACCCAGTTACCGGGAAAAACTTGAGATGTGTCTCTCCTGAAGGCCCGCTCTCTCTCTGACGGTAAAATTACCCTGAACACTTTTTGTTGCATCGGGCTTGAGCCCCGGAATTTGGAGGAATGAAAAGGCTTTGTCGCCCCATAGAAACTCTAAGCCAACTAGCGAGATGTCCCATGAAGGGTCTTAGAGCCCTTACAGGGCGGTTGGCCCTTTCCTAACTGAGCTCCTGCTTAGCCCCAGAAGGAAAACATCCTAACACATCCCAAAGGCCTATCGGGCCTATCTACTTTGGTGTGTAGTCAAGCCCCTTTGCTTCAGCCCACTTCTATGTTGGCTAAGCGGCGTTTCCACGCCCAGCTGCCCAGGTGAGAAGGCCGGCACCCCGGCATCGCAGCCGTGACCTTATATAGTGCAAAACATAGTGCAGAAACGCTTTGTGTACAACACCCTCGTATAGGTTACTAAACCCACATTAGGCAACTCGCAAGGGGAAGCCCATTCCTACCATAGTGCGACATGACAACCCCTCCACACTCAGCTGGGTCGCCGAAGTCTCTGGACGGCAGCTTGATAACACCGTGGAGCACCTCTTCAGTTCTCGGCTCCAAAGCTTTGACAGGGGCATGGAGTTCAAGGGCTGGAAAAGGGGCGCACGCAGTGCCAGCTTGATGCGCGGGCCATTTCTCTCTTAGCCAGTGGTCAGATTCTTCGGAACAGGCTGGGACGGAGTTACTGGAAATCATGATCATGTCCACGGCATTAAAACCTTTAACGCCTTCAACTGGAGTTCGACTCTCGGACTGTCCAGGTGAGGTTGCAATTCCGAAGTCAGAATCTATAATCTCGCCCAAACCCCCGCCATCCACGCCTTTCCCAGCACCCCGGACCCCTGCCCCCTTTCTTTGCCATCTCGGTTGGCATTTCGGTGTCCAGACAGGCAGAAGCGGAAGGAAAAGAGAGAGAGAGAGAGAGAGCGCAAAGGTTTTTATGAACCTTAAACAATCTTGAGTGGGCCTGACAACATGTTGTGAATTTCGGGGAAGACACTTTAGCCTTCTTGCAACCGGCTTAAGAAATCCACATCCTCCTGGGCCATCCTAGCCACGCAGTTCACTGTAATAAGGAGAGCTGCGCAGACATGGACACGAGGCCAAAACACCACTCCGTGGTTGCGTGGGGGCACAGAAACTGGGCATCGGGCGTTCTTAGAACTGGAGCATCCTCCCATCTTGCTCGTGAGCAAACACGCAAGACTGTGCCGGATCAGCTGGGTTAAGGCGTTTGGGAACACGATGTAATACACAAAGTCCTCCTAGCCGATGCTTCGCAGATGCAACCCCGAAACCCGAAATCGCATGGATGAGCGCTGCTTGGACTGCTTGAGCCAGATCAGGCTGGGCCGCAAGTTTGACTGCACGCGGAGGGTTTTCGGGACTTGTACCCAAGTCTGACATTTTGCTGTTGAGATCGGTGTCTTGTTATGGGTTGAGAGTCGGCAGCCGGGGTCTCGAAGCAGCATATCTGTTCACCATTCAAGGCCCAAGGCTCGAAAACCCGAGACAAGCCGCCTAAAACCTGCACCCATACACCCATCCTCGGTGTCTTTACATGTGCTCAGAGCTACTGCTGAAAGCAGCCTGCACGTAGCCCTGCATGCCTCCATCCTGAGTGCGAAGACAGGGACTTAGGGTTTAGGACTTCTGGCAACAGCCCGGTCTCCAAACTCGCTCTAAACCCAACCAAATCCCTATTTACACCTCACACTTACAGCACAATGTTTCAGGGCTTCAGCACGTCTTCTTGATGCTTAGGATGGTGAAGCCGAATTTGTGGCTCACTTTTTGTGTACCCGATGCCTTGCTTACCTTAGCTCACCTATCTCTCCAGATCATGAGCGCCCAACAAGAATCCCCTCGCCCGGTCGCCCGTACCACCGTAGCGTTTCGGAGTTTAGTGTTTATATTGAGGTTTCTCGGTTGGGTAAAGGCTCTGGGGATTTTGGGTTGCGGTTGGGGGGCGGACTCTTCTACATCATTGCTCGCTGCCCTTGTTGCTCCCAAACACCCTTGTCTTCAACACGCTTTAGGCAGGCCGCCTGAACTAACCCGACAAGCAAAACAACATCCAGTTTGAATGCAAAGTTCATCTTGGCCAAGCCTCAGATGGGCCCTATCCACTCTTCACGGAAGAGGATTGGGGAATCTCGGGACTCTGGTTTCAGTTCGTCATATTACGTAGATTTGGGGGCGAAGGGTCCTCGGGTAAATCATTCATTGTGGGTCTCAGCGCATCTTCCGAACCACCACGCAGCCAGCCCTCGTTCCGGACCACACCCGACAGTTTCAACCGCGCGGCGGGTGGCCCCAGGAAGCGCAAAGGAACGCTGAGCCGCGACGCAGCGGCCACCTTTGTTTCCAGGTCTCTCAGAGGGGCTCTTTAGGACAATACTTGGCGACGTCGGGGTTCGAAAAAGCTCATCTTGCAGATGCCGTTCAGATTCCGAAATGCTTGGACATCCGAGCTCTAAAGAGGTGTGAAGAGTTCATGTATCGGGTATCAGGAAGGGTCGAGGCTCAAGGCACAGGGCTGAGACTTTCAGCTTCGTTGGGTTTGCGTTTTGGGCGTGGCTTGCCTATAGCGCATAAATGTTGTTGGGACTGAATCAGGCATCCGTCTTGAGTTCATCTGCTCAAGGCATGTGACCTCTCATGTAGAGTCTCCAGACAGCAACGTCCAAGAAATGAAAACTCGGAAAGCAGGCCCGAAGACCTTCCCAGACTCCCAAAAAAGCCCCGTCGGAGCCCCGGGCCGTGGCCGCCATGTTGCCGCCCACTGAACTTAAGAGGTGGTAAGCCCAAAAGTTGACCTCAGCTTGAGCGATGTTTCTGGGGCTGTAGTGCTGTTGTATTTCTGGCGTTCCTGGATTCTATATGTGTAGGTCCACATCCTACTTCCACGACTCTGATGCCTTATAACAAAGCTCGGCAGGTTTCTTGTCGCCTCATGGAGCACTCCGGGGCTTTTTGTAAAGACTGCTTCTTGAGGATTCAACTTTCCATCGCACGGTAGTGTCTTAGAGTGTCAAGGGCTTCAGCTTTGCAGTGTTTTGTCGTGCCTGCGATGATCAAGACCAGTCAGTATATGCCCTCAGGAACACTTCACGCCAGCGCTAAAACCATCCGAAGCGAATCCATCCTCAAGTCCAAAACATTCGACTGTGAAGCCGCGATCCGGGACCGTAATTACCAACCCTGCAAAGCCGATTCTGAGCATATTAATTAGGGGAAACCCCTCCATGCAACCGGACACCTGTTGGAAATCTTACTCTCTGGACTGCTGCCTTGACTGGGACCATCGATCGCTCTGGCGCCACTGAGCCTCTGAGCAGTACAGAGGTTACAGAAGTCAGGAAAGGCGACCTCTCAACATTATAAGAGGTAGGACTGCACAGACTTCAAGGCAACCGCTACATACTGTAAAGATTCGTCCGCTCTGAAATTGCCAACAGCATAGTTTTCGACACACCTATGTTTGCATGGAGATAGCTGATTTTCACAGGCACCGTCCATGATAAGATGCAAAGCAGCGAACATCAACGCCCCGGCCTGAGAAAAGCCGAAAGCGGCGCTTCTGTGCAGGTGGCTTCAGCTCGACCGGGCGCAGGTCGGGGTCCAAGTTCATCCAGTCCGTGTCTAGGGCGGCTGGGGTTTTGAAGATGGCAAGGATCTCCCAGGAGCTTAATTAAGTTTAAGGATATGGCTTGGAGCGGCACCTTTGGCTTTGGGGGCTTCTGGCTTTGCGTACGCTAATCCAAGGTGATGAGAGCTTAGGGTTTGTGAATGTGTGCGAGCCTTACAGTCCCTGTGTGCCTTAAACCAGTACACTAACCGCGCACAACTGCACACATTTTGGAGCTTGTGTTGTCAACGAAAACACTCGAGATCTCAAGACCCTGTCCTGGCAGGTTGCCCCTTGGGCATACCCTTAAAAGCAATTAAGGGTATGTTGAATTATTCTTAGACCTTCTGGGTCGGGTGGGATGCGAGGCTCACCCTTCCTAAACGAGAATACGCCGCAAGGGTCTACTATCGTGTACTATAGTTACTCATGTACCGCGCTCCTCTAATGCAGCAGCGATGTGAGGCCTCCATTCGTAAGGCCGGCACTGTTGGGCCTCCGTATGCCGATGATCTCCCAGTCTGGGCGTCCGGCAGGTGGCTTTAGGATGCTTTATTAGGGTACCCCAATAACTGCCTGGACTAGGAAACGCGAGCTGCTGCTTAGCAGCTGGTCTAATATGTTTTCATAAGTATGGAGTTCGAGGTCTTGTTTGAGAACGCTCGGGCCTGTGAGATCAAGCCAACATGTCCTATGTCCTCATACAGCCTTGCACGGCAGTCACACCGGAGTACCTGAAAACCTCTCAGGCCAGACATCCTGCATTCGCAATGCAAGCTCACGAATCAGGGCAAAGCTTGAAAGGGACATGCAAGCAAGCCCGACCCCCTACCTGAGCTCCATGCGACCTGTTGTAAGCATAGCCTGGGCGACGGCTGTCCTTGACCGACGGCGGGATAATCGAATCGAAGGCTGAGGCTGCATCTAGGCGCCAAGGAACCATGTAAGGTAGGTCATGAAGCAACAAACCCTGGCAGAGTGTCGCAGGGGAACCCTTTCCCATCCCCAGCGAAGAACCAAAGGAAGGCAAACTTCCAAAGCATGGCCTTGTCAAATTTCTCAAGCCCCGCCCACTTCATTGAGCCCTTTCACAAGTGACTTTGACGTGGGGGAGGAGTGGAGATGTTGGGAGGGATCCGATCAAGCCGCGCAAGCCGAGTCGGAGTTCGTGACTTCTTCTAGAGTTTCGGGCAACCAAGGGCAGCCTTCTCGATGAATGCTATTGGATAAAGAGACCCCCGCAATGCCCCGCAATCAAACAATTCAAACTTAGCATCATGAATCCGAGAAGTGTGATACTTGAACCCCGCGAACCCCAAGTCTCCCAATCCTATGGCGGAGGCTCTCTTAACGAAGGAAAGCAGCCGTCGACGAACTCAGCTATGCCAACCCATGCTGAGAGCAAGACGGAGACCCTTCCAACATCACGACCTGGGAAGTGGACTGGACCCAAAACCCGAAACACAGCCTTTCGGTAGTCACAAGGCCACAGTATGTCGGAGGGACGAGCGGAGTCACTCTGATGTACGTTGCAGCCCACGGACTGGACCCTCAAAATGCCGACACCCTGATGAGGATTCTTTTGTCCGGGAACCCTCCGGGCATGCTCCGACCAGCTTTCGCCCCGGCTCGGCCCGGTCAGCCTTTCATCTCTGTTTTTTCTTTTTTTTCCAAAGGGTTCTCCCGCTTGCAAGGTCACAGGCAAGCCCAACCCCCCCCCCCCCCAGGGCCCCAGATTTAATCCCATAGCCTCGCATATAGCACCCCTAAGCCTTCAGCCCTTAACCCACACATCGTTCTCACTCAAGCTTGAATTCCAGCTTCAAGGTTTTGCAGCTGTGGGCATTGAGGGCTTCGAAAACCTTTGGTGCTGGAGTGTGCTGGAATGTTGTGTGTTCAGCGTTCCACAGCTTCACGAAGGCGCCTACCCTGCCCCTCGGCCAAGCAACTATGAGATGCCATTGCGCGGCTGAATCTCCACACACAAGCGGCCGAGGCGTGCACATCTGGACGGTGGGCATTTAGCGCATCCGTCACCAGCCGGGATGACTCCTGCTGGCTGTTGTCCCAGCATGTCCCTGAAACACAAAAAGGACAATGGGCTAGGTAGTGCACCAATGCCAGTTGAGGCTTGCGTGCAGCTTGGAGCAAAACCGGCAGTGGTGCTCTGAAGGCCAGAGCCCTCGACATCTCCAACAATCCTAATTACAATCCAGGGTGGTGAGTCCTTGTCCAGGTCCACGCAGAGGGAGCCGATCAGCAGGATCTAGCAAGAATCTAGCATTGGAAAGGTGCTCTCGGCTTCAGGGCTTGTGGAGAATAGTATGGGATGTAATGGGGCCGTGGAAAAGTCAAGGTTGATGATTTGGGACGCTTTCGGGAATTGCGGTCTACCGGTCTACTTATGTCCCTATGTCTGCCTTGGCGGTCTCGTGTATCCGCCGCGAGCTGCATGGCTTGTCTTGACATGCAAGCACCGAAGCAAAACCAACAATCAGTCCTTCACATCCGATGCAGCAACTTCAATGAATTCAACTCAACGGGCCGACCCTTGTCTTTCGGCACCAACTAGCAGATGCTAACAGCTCCACAGCACGGGACACCTCGCGGCCGTCGCTGTCCCGCAGACGCGCAAGATTCGGATGGCAGACGGAGCTACCGCTCCTGCGTGATGTGCAGCGTGTGTTAGCCACATTGTGGCAGCAGAGCTCACTTTCACTTGAGCACCCCTCTGCCTCAGCCAAAAGCGCAATACATCCCACCTTCGACTTTTCAGGCACTTGGACTTAATTACTCGATCCTAATCATCTTACAGAGCTCTGTGTTTTGGGGCATGATAAGTTCGACTCTCACACTCGCACGCGGCTGGCACGGCTTCGAAAGGTCAATCACTCCACTAGATGCACGACAGACGGCCGAGCCTCCTGATTTCACAACACCAAAATCCACAGCAACCACAACCCAGTGGACACCCGGCAGCCCTTCTCCGACCCTGGACCTTTGCCGTGATCCTACTTCAAGCCAGAGACCGGATTCCAGACATACCACTACCACACCACGTCCAACATCCGGCATCTAGCATCGTTACCGTAAACTCATCAGCTAGGTTGTCGACCTGAGATCTTTGCCCAGGCTTTCTGTGCCAGGTCAGAAGCCAGATCACGACCCTGGTTTAGAGTTTAGAGGGTTTATGATCTATAGAGTTATAGGGGTAGAAAGATTTGAACCATAACCCCTGAGCCCCCAAGTTCCTCAGCTGGGCGCCCGCACGCGGCCTCCCGGTACTTCACAATGTAGGTGTACGCGGCCTGGCACGGGGTTGGGAAGCTCCACGAGAGCCCCTTCGGTGCTTTTTTCTGTTCTATGAAGACTTAGGGCTCATGAGAAGTGGGAGCTGCGCAACTTTCGTGTTGTCAAACAGTTGCAAACTCGATGGCAGGTTGCGAGCGATTGCTGAACCCATTGCCTTTTTGATTTTTGATTCATGCGTCTTGAGCCCAAGGAACCGTACCCACCCACCCCCACCCCCCCTTTCAACCTCCACCTGGTAAAAGCAACTTCTGCGGAAACGAAGGCTCTTATGAAAAGTGCCATGCAGCAAGACATTCCAAAATTAGATATTCAGGGTCCAAATGTCTCGCCCTATCCGGCAACCTTTGAACAAACCGGCTGGATTTGTTTTACCCTACACTGGTGACCATAAACATGTACCCGATACTTCGAGAAGATGGGTACCACTGGGTATTCTGAAGCCAGATTTCAGCACATGCAGAGCCCGCCACAGCGGCGAGCAGTGCCAGCAGTAGGCCGCCCAGCGGCCGCCGTGCCGCCGGCGGCAGCTGGGCAAGGCATCCGGGCATTGTCTCGTTTTGGGTTTGGGACGGTCTTGTCTCGCTCCAGACTCTCAAACCCTGGCCAGGTAGAGCCAAATCTTCGGTCCGTAGATCAACACACCGCCAGAGAGGATCATGAACAGCCACGCAGTGCCAGAGATCATTCGAAGATTGTTTAATTAAATGAGCTGCCACCCGACCCCCAAGCCCTCAAGAAAGACACACGAGGCCGAGGAAACCAAAAACAAACATGTCAAACCCATCTTGTCTCTCTCTCTCTCGCTCCCACCCTCTCTTTCTCTTTCTCATAAACCTCTCCCAACCTATTGAAGACTATACCTTTGGTTGTTGAAGCTCTTTTCGCTGCACTCTCTTGGTAGGAGCCGTTCTATGACAAGACTACCGGCTCAAAGGCGAGCCTGCGACAAAGTTGGGGGGTCAGGATCGTGTTTTGTTTAAGTCTGTGTAAGGGCTTTCAGTTTCTCTTTGAGATCTCCCTCATGGGGCTTTGGATTTCGAGTCCTTCTTCTCCTGCCTCAAGAGGCCGCGCGCTTCAAAGATAAGTAAATGCGTCCGTCTCCTTCCCAAGACCCGACAACCCGAGAGCCGAGCCGAAACCATGAACTCCACTTCAAGAGCTCCGTTCACATCTGCACACAAACAGTTCGCAAGATCCCTTTCGAAGAACTCCTCAACCCCTGGCTTTCTCCTCTCATTGTCCGCCAGGGCACCGGGGGGGGGGGGGGGGGGGGGGTTAGACATAACATGACAGTGGGTGCAACATTCTGGGGCTGGGATGGTTTCCGGTGTCTGGGCTGCTGTCTGGGAAAGAGTGTTGCAATCTGCGACAACCATCTGCAGCCAGGAAGCCAGCTGCCGCGGCATCTGAGCGAGGGCCCTCTATTGGCTGCTGGTTGAGCCGCAAGCTGGGACAGGCTCAGAGGCTCAGAGGTGTGGCGAAAGATGGGACTTAAAGACTTCCAAGGCTTCTGTCGGCTCAGGACTTGGGGCTCTCCAGACTAGTCCCCGTTTCGTTGAGGGCTTGTCCAGGAGCAGGACATTCCCGGTGAAGGTTCCCCAGGCGCTGCGTGATGGGACAGCAACTGCAGCTCAGAGGGGTTACGTTCCGTTTAGGGCTTGCGGTCGGGAATTTCAGGACAAGGCAGGCAGAATCTCGCTTCCTTTTTGGGTTCGTGAGCCAGATTCCATGTCAGAGCATCGCGCTCAATTTTACGAGCCATCCGGGTGCAATCCGGATCTCTATGATAACAAGAAGCAGCGGCTCGTCAGTGCAGCGTCGTAAAGGGGCATGTCTGGAGGTGGCGGGAGGTATGAATTTTTATGCACACCCCGTGACAATGGCGTGCCTTGCAAGCTAGGGGTGCAAATCGTAAGGGATAGTGATCGCAAAAAACAATCGACAAGGCCACTTTGGATGAAGACTTCAAGAAAGCAGAACTTCCTGCCTCTTGCCTGACCGTCTATAAGGCAAACAAGCAAATCAGGCCTGAGCCTACCACCCCCTCCAAATTTAAAGACTTTCAGGTCCAGGGTACTTACTAGTCACTAGTCCTTGCATCAAGAAACTACAGGAACTTGTAGGTAGAGCTTTGATGGCTGGCGGTCTGGGGCCGGGTCATTGCAACAAGGAACTAGAGGGATGTGGTTGAGGATTCAAATTTTCTGCTGCATGATCTGAGGGTTTTCGGGTTCAACGTTCAGCGCTAGGGAATGTGGCCAGATCACTTGCGGGTCAAAGGCTCACGCATGAGGAATTGCCCGATGTTGCTGAAGCTGGAAACAACCCTATGATGTTCCAGCAGTCTTGATGTTTTCTAGGATGGCCCTTAGAACCCTCTGAAAAATATTCCTAAAATATGATCCTCTAAAACCCAGAAAATGTACAATATCCCAAGGGCCTACCCAACTGTGCAACCGGGCGAGCACTTGAGGCTTCCTTGGTCCAAGCCCTGGGTTCGTTCTGTCGAAGATAACTTTGCATCATCCAAAGCAGCAGAATGAGCTTGAATTGCGTTGCACACATCCAAGCCCACTTCTGTTTCCCCTGACACACCCACACACCCACACGCATGGGCGCTGAACGTGATGCCATACGTCAAGTGACCCTTCAGCATCCCAAGGATGGGGAGCCGTATGCCCAGTGCATACCGTCTATAAGTTCCCCGTAGTAGGCGACCTTCAAGATCTGTTTGGAGAATCCGAAAAATAGCCCAAAACTGTCCTACCCTCAATGCCGGATCAGGCCGGCCATGCTTGCCTGGTCCTTAGACCCCCCTCCAAAACCGTCCCAAACCTGTCACCTCCAAACGCATGGGGAATCAGAGCAGCCAGGATGTCATTAACAAGCTGGGCGACTGTTCCCAGTGTTCCGTTCGCTTCGCCCTCTACGGGCATCAGCGGCAATAGCTTACTCAGGGAAACATGGTCTCTACTCGTAGATCCCCGCGCAGAGGGCAATCAGCGTGAGGGTCCGAATCGAGTCTGTAAGAAACATCCTACTGCTGCTAGGGGTTTCACGATGAAAGCACTACGTGGGATTGGTTTCTGAGATTGCGAGGTAAGGCTCAGGGGCCATGTGAATCTCTCAGGCGGTTGTGGAATTTACCCAATTGACCTGACAAACAGCCTCCACAGATCATCGCCGGCCGCAAGCTTGAGCCCTCTCGTTCCTACCATGGATATCTGGCAGCGCTAGAATAGGGTCGAGCAGGCGGATGTGTCGTCAGCTCATAAACCTGGGTTCAGGCGGCTGTTGATCCCGACCCTGAGCAGATAGATGTCTCCTTTGAACCTACGAGTAGCGCAACATGTCGCAGGCGGTGCGATGCGGCTAAGTGCATAAGTTCCAAACAGAAAGCCCTGAACCTGGAGCCGAACATAACTCTGAAAACCGAACACCTCAACTGCCTCGAAACTGTTCATGACGCTCGTATCCTCACAAGAAGAGAAAAAAACACAATCCAATAGAGGACTACATATAGAGTACTGAAAGTCAATGTTTTCCGAGACACTGCATGGGCGCGATCTGTGGAGGTGGAACGCGGCCTCGATTCAGCTTCCTGGGGGGCGCCATAGCAGACAAGCTTGGCCCCTTAGCCGCCCCGAAGCTGCCATCGCCCCCTGGAAAAGAGCCCTAAATCCTCAGGAAGGCGCTATTTCTCTCACCTCAAAGAACAACTGCGAATTCTCCTGAACCTGGAACCCTCAGTTCAGGAATCGGACCCAATCCTCAATCCTGTAGGCCCTTGAAAATCTTTTGAGCCTGAAAACCCTCAATGCCGAATCGAAACCGAAAAGCCGCAACAACCCAAACCAGCGGTTAGAACCCTACAAACATCTAAACACCAAGTTCACACAAAGATTCCCAAAACCCAAGCAAAACCAAACCAAGGCTGCGGCTCGTAGGCTTCCGCCGCCTCCTCCCTCAGCCGCGCCTGCTCCACTGCCAGGCCTCCAGGCAGAGGCCACTCAACAGGCACAAGAATTGGGTTCCAAGGTGTAGTGATTGAGAGAGAGAAAGACACCTATGCGGGTGTGTTCACAGTACAGATGTCCACGCGCCCTGCGCGCAAAAGACAAGGCCCAAGCGCATCGACTCGCATCGCCTGAGGTCACGAGACTCATGGCTTTTTGGTGGGGCCTGATTCAAGGGTTTACAAGTCGAGGCTCCATCATGGAGGTACCGGGTGTACTCTGGGCAGGGGCATTTTCCAGCCTCAAAAGCCTGGAGCTAGTGCAGTTTCGGTTGATCTCATATGAAAAGTCTTGTGACAGGGCCCTTGCAGCCTATAATTAATGCCCTGCGTTTCTGGATGCAAGAAGAAGTTTCGCCTAAGTATTCCCATCGAGGTGTTGGTTGCTCGCACCACCGTGGCAGGGCAACAGCTCCGGAAGCCCTACTATCAACTTCCTCAACACCGCCTCCTCCCCAAAAAGATGCAGAAGAATCACAACAAAGATGCGACGGCCGCAGAAGAGGGGCTAACGTAAGTTCAGCGGTTCGATTGGTGCAGCTGTAGGATTTGACGAGCCCACCAACCCAAAACCCCAAACCTGCTGTGTGGCTTCAGCTAGAATGATCAGCACACTGGTGCCAAGGTGAGAATGCAAATCCTGGAGCCCTCAGAACCCGAATGGTGGGGTCCGAATGCAATCGCTCAGGACCTCTCTTACCAACCCGCATCCTGGTGCAGAGTAGTGGCTCGCTACCCAGCTTCTCAATCTGCGACGCCAGATTTTGCTCTGCCTCTTGGACTGGACTGCCGGGGCTCCAGAGGACAGGCTACGCAAGGCTTTAGGGTATAGAATGTTTTCGGCTTTGAGGTCGTGAGTTTGCTCTCCGGCTTGAACAGTAAGGCGTGCCGGGGCTGCAGGCTTCAAGCACGATGCAAACCACGCAATGCCCTTAAAAGACACTAAGGTTAAACTCTTGGTTCTGGTCTCATTTGCAACCTGGGAAGCTCTATTTGGATCACTGGGCATTTCAAATTGCAGGCCCCATCTGTGCAATAGACCGTGCGTGCCATGCTCGCACATGTTTCCCCGAGTGAATGTAACGATACTTTGGTCTTCGGGGTCAACTTTGGTGCACGTTGCCGGCGCTTTACGGCTATGATTTTCTCCTTTCTGGCGATGCAGACCCAGAGCCTCAATGGCATTCTAGAGTTCTCGAAAGTAGTCCCCGAGCGTGTTGATTCTTGAGACCTCTTGCGGCCCTGTTTACAACCCGAAAGACCAGTGCGGGTTGGGAGGTTGTGCGTGTACACACTATATATGTGTTACTAGACATACATACATGCATACATCCGCTCCTATATATATATATATACATACATATACATATACATATTTAAATATGTCTCTAAAGGTGTACAGATATACATACACATGTACATAGACATATTTGAATATAAATATAAATATAAATATATATATATAAACAAACAACACACGCATAGAAACATGATGTATATATATGGTTCAGCGTCGAGCGTCCTGGGCCCCCCCGCCCCCCATGGTATCCCCCCCCCCCCCAAGCCTACTCTACGGTCCCTAAACCCTAAACCCTAAACCCTAAACCCTAAACCCCTAAACCGTAAACCCTAAACCCTAAACCCTAAAACCTAAACCCTAACCCTAAACCCTAAACCTTAAGTCTTAAACCTTAAACCCTAAACCCTAAAACCCTGAACCCTAAACCCTAACCCTAAAACCAACCCCCAACCACACCACAGGGGGGGGGGATCATCTTAGTACCCCATCCGCGGGTTAAACCCTAAAGCCTAAACCCTAAACCCTAAACCCTAAAACCCTAAACCGTAAACCCTAAACCCTAAACCCTAAACCCTAAAACCCTAAAACCCTAAAACCCTAAACCCTAAACCCTAAACCCTAAACCCTAAAACCCTAAAACCAACCCCCAACCACACCACAGGGGGGGGGGGGGGTACCATTGGGGGGGGGGGGGGGGGGGGGGGGGGGGGGGGGGGGGGGGGGGGGGGGGGGGGGGGGGGGGGGGCCCGCCGGGGCTGAATCATATATATATGTACACATATGCGTGCATCTTCTAACATCTAGCTCATAGAAGCTCCCCGAGGGCGCTGCAGGCGCGTCGTCGTCAAAGGTCAAGCGCTGGCTCTTTGGCACTCTGGCAATCTTTGGCATATCGGCCTCGGACATAGTTTACACATGCTGATGTATGTATGTGTGTATGTGTGTATGTATGTATTTTGTATTGCACAAGAGAAATGAAATGCTATGTATATATGTATATACAATAGTATAACATAAACGAATGTCCATCAGCCATACAACAAAAACTTAATGTAACATCAAAGGTTGATTGTTAAGTCAGACTCCGGATTTGGGTGCTCAGCCCGGGCGTGTGTACGACCCTTCTTGCCCAGTACCCAAGTTTCATCATCGAAGGACTTCTCGCCGACGAGCGGCCGAAAGAAACCCCAAGCTTGCATTAAACAGCCGCCCAAATCAAGCCCCTCTACCCGGCGAATTCCTCGACACTGTGAACACTCGGACTGAACATCCTGCAAATGCCAACCCCCCTGCAACTGGCAATCTTGCCCCTAGCATGGAGCCTTTACCTTCGCCGCAATCTCCTACGAAAAGCAACTCCAAGTTGTATAAGGACTCGTGTTCGAGGGCAGCGTAATTCGTGCACTTTCACTCGAAACCATCTCATCTCTAGTCCGGCTTTCGGTCTCTGCCTGCCGCCTCTGCCCATGGCCTACGAGCGCTCAGATCCGGAAATCCGCAACCCACTAAATTAAGCTTGTGAACCGCAAAGGCTTAAGAACCCCAATTCCAGAGCAGCTTGGTCGCGCGTTGCCCGCTCAGCGAGGCGGCCACATTTCCCGCCGACTTCAGGTACGCCACCAACCTCAACTTCGAATTGGGAGGAGGGGCTGGTGCTGTGAGTCTGCTGATCTTGCGTCTCTACGCAGCAAATTTCAGAACTATCAACTACATGTCTTGCTTTACATATACATGCATCTGCCAAGATGCGCATGGTAAAACACACATGCGTGTAGCCTTACTATGGGTCTGCAGAGCTGTGAAATATGAAGGTAAAGGTTTCGGCGTTCGGTCTGGAAATCCAAAAGACCAAATTTACATGTACCCCACTTCGCCAGAAAATCTGTGAATGTGTATGTAAATACGTAAGCATGTGTGGGTGTGTGCGCTGAATCTGCGCACTGAGTATGCGCATATGCGGACATGTGCATGTGCAACCCGAATGCAGAACATTTGAGCCGCCAATGGCTTACGACCATATTACTGCAGCCAGGTGGCGGCATGGCGGAGCCCCGGGCATCTAGGACCTGCGCAGCATGGCGGACCGCAGAATGCAAGACGAGGAGCCAAAAGCAAGAGAATGCCCTTTGCAGCGTCTTGACGAAACCCGGCACCCTGAAGCAAGAATCGCCCAAGGAAGCCCCTGAAGCATCGCCCATTAAGCATGTAGAACGGTAGAGCGGTGTACTTTGACTGGATGAGCTGGTCGTCTATGCTGCATGCTGCGATGCAAATCCCCCACATCCCAAGAAAGGCAAAGGCTGCCACGAGCCAAGAAACCCTGAAAGCTTATCCTCTACATCCCAGCACTGTAACCTCCTACCATGCAGTCCTCATCTTCGATCACGACCAGGCCAGCTCCGCCCTGTTCCCAACCTCGGAGACTGCAAGCGAAGGCTGTCGTCATTATAGGGCTTGCGAATTTCATCCACAGAAGGCAGTCAAAGCCGATTCATGGCTTTGAGGCTTTGGGCGCAAAGCTTATTAAGGCAGAGAAGTGTCGTCATCAAAGAGAGAAGCTGTAGATACTAACGAAAGCTGCATGCGGACACGGCGGGGCATTAGCCTTACATCCACATGCCTAAGTACAATGTCTGTATAGATAGTTGGGACTAGCCCTTGATGCCTGCAACGCTTGCGGGAAGAGTGCCATATCTCCCATCCTGGCCACACTAGCTCTACCTGCCCTAGCAAGACAAACCTAAGCTGTAAACTTTTTGAGAGGCCGAAGGCCTACAACCTGAGCTCAGGGCCCGGTGTAAGCCGAAGCATGCAAACCAGACTGCAACCCAAGAAACATGCACGCCGCGCAGTGGCATCACCCGCACGGCCCAACATCATTAAGACTAATTCGCGGTTGCATAGCAAGTTGAGCCCTGGGCGGAGCGTCACCCGCCGCCCATCGATCTCGTAGCGTCCAGGGCCAAGGCGTCGTAGGCTGCGCCAAAGCTTGCGCAAGAGCTGCTAGAGCTGGCTGGCTCAGAAGCTTCGGGATAGGCATGTTGGCAACTAAGCCGCCCGAATTCGCGGCGCAATTCTTGGATAAGGCTGATCTCTCTGAGTTCGGGACACAAGCTTGGAGGATGCAGCGGCGTCCAGCATGCGCAGGGCATTGCCCAACAACTGATCCTCAGGTCCATGCCAACGTTTCATGCCACGTTCAATCATCTCCGATGCCTCAAGGGCTTGCTTTCCTGTCCTGAGCATTCACCGAGCTTTTGTCTCGAGAACTCAGGCCTCGGCACCCAATTCCCAAGAACATTGCCTGCTAAGGCCGTCGCAACAGGATCGGCCAAGTCCACCTCAGCAAGGTGGGTTGCTGCGACTGGGGAGGAGGAAGGTGTGCAAGAGTAAGAGGTTAGATTTTGCAGCTTCTGGTATATATGGGAGCCAAGCACAGCCTGAGCTCCCAATCCCACAACCCTACCATGGCGTATACCAGGAAGCACGGATCCTCTTCGAAGGTCTGGCGAGATGCAAAGATTGAGAGCTCAAGGAAGCAAAAACCAAGCCAGCACGCTAGTTCTACCCTGAGTCCTGCACACGCGCCTACGCAGGAGTACTGAGGCTGCCACAATGTAGGCTGCAGCTGGCACAGGCGTCTGGCTGAACCCCCCACCACCCATCGCACCTGATTCAAGTCTTCATGCTGCCGATTCTTCGGGCTGTCTGTACTTATATATATATAGATATGTACGCACACGCATATAAAGTGCCTACACATCCGTTTTGTTTGCCTTTGGGGATCTAGATACCTATGCCCCATGGAACCTGTACCAAAAAAGTCCATTTGCATTCGTACTTGTGCATGTGACATTGTTGAATGTTTGCCTTTGAGTTCCGGCAGATCTGGCCAGTTTACGAGTTCTACTTCTATACAGCCGCCTCACAAATTCTTAAACCGCGTTGCAGATTCTGTGGGCTGACCTTCGGATTGAGCAGAAGAAACAGAAGGGCAAGAAGACATGTCGAAGGATTGCCATGTACACCATGTGCCCACCCACGGTACGAAGCAACTTCAGACACCTTGAAATCGTCTTATCTCCAGCATCCTGGGCAGGAGTCAGTTCAGAGCAACTCCCGCGACCTACTTGTAAAGAGTCGAGATCTCTGCCGGGGCGCTGTGAGGCATGTAGAATGATGGGTTCGAACTTGTCAGCGATCCCGACGAGCGACCTCATCTGGGATGAAGGCTCGAGATACAGTCTGGACTCTAGAGTCTAGGGAATGATGTCGGATCAGGTGTCCTCATGTCCTACCTTTTTGAGTTCGGCTGAGGTCCCCATCTCATTAAGACAAACTGACAGAACTTTGTCGAGCCAGCACTGCATGTCGTCCTCTGATGCTCTTGCAAGCAGCCAAGGAGCAAATGGTGAAGGAATGTGGCAGAGGGGCGGCTTCGCCAGGTTGCCTCTGCAGGGAAAGGGGCGAACAGGGATGTCAAACACAACCAAGTGCGGGCGAAAGATGCGCTGAAACAGAACCAAGCCAACCAAGCCCTCAACCTTTTGTGTTGGGGTGTTGGGAAGCGCCAAGAACCTCATGAGCCACCGTTGCCCTTCATGACAACTCAGTTTCATCGCACGTTCCTCCCAAAAGCTATCCGGTAAGCCAACCAAGTTTGCTTGTAGGAGGCCGGGTCTTTTTGCTTAGCCTGGGCCTACTTCCGCAGAAGAGCTTTCCAAGATCAGGTGCAGCAAATTGGTACGCCACATGAAGCATGACATGTGCAACGTCATCTGCATTAAACACCAAGACCACGAAAAGAGCATTGTTTTTGGCCTGGCACAGCCGCCTCTCACGAATTAAGAAGCGCGATGCAGGTGAGGGCTTTCATGTGCCAGGCACTCCTATGAGGATCTCTAGACTATGCGCCATGGTGATGAAGCCAAGTTCTTGACTCTCAAGTGACTTTATAAGACCCCACTTTCACCGAATTCGACCGGCAGCGAGAGCACTTTGTCTGTCTCGCCGCGGCCTCCACGGAGAGCATTAACGAGAAAATAAATTCTACAAGCTTCGACCAGATACCTCGGTTCCTGAGATGAAACCCAAAACGCACACCTACCTACTCTATTCATCATAACCCATTACACCATCTTACACCCTTCTAGCCGCCCTTTGGCCGACTTTAGCCCCAAGCGTCCCTCATGCCAAAGCTCGGATGGCTTGTCGAACCCGCCAGGCACTCACAAAGGCAGAGCAGGGACTCCGGCGAATCCAAAGGCAAGGTGCCTCGCTACAAAACAAAGCAAAAAACAGAGCCGCCTTTATCAACCAAAATACCCAAATGTGTGGCATGTGATAAGGAACAAGCAACATGATAAGCAGCATTTGCACAAATCCCTGGCAGTATACTTGCCCATCATCCGAGAGAGCTCCCAAATGCTGCCACATGCTGAATATCGACAGGTGTGTAAAAATCCAAAGCTCTCAATTTTCCATGATTAGCCTGATATCTGCATTAGCTCCATGCAAAACTGCTTCAGCACACTACTGTGGCATACCCGAAGCCCTGCCCCCCTAAACGAAATTTTGGGGCCCACAGGCGGCCATGATTCTGGACGTATCGGGCTCGGGCACTTCGTGCATTCCGCGGCAGTCAAACATGTCACGCAGCCTCAGCAGTGCGGGCTGTCTCGTTTCGGTGCCAAGGCCTGTTTCAGAGACTCCCTTTTTTCGTCAATTTTCCATGAGAGGACAGAGTTCGGGAGAGGATCTGCCTGCAGAGTCAGTGGTTCTTGCGACGTCTCAAGGATCATGGAGGCTTCTATGTGCGAGCCCTGGCACATGCATGAAAAAATGAAAACGTGCAACCAAGACCTAGGCAATTAAGCACCCCAACCACCGAGCGGCAAAAAAGCCACGCCTCTCAGTCTTTCAGCTGAGTTCAGCTGAGTTCAGTACGCAATGTGACTTCTGAGCATTCACTGAGGAACTTGCCCTGAAGCAAAACTCGAAGCTCTTGAATCCGCAGCCTTGCCTACGCCCAAAAACCCTCCAAACCCCTGCATATCGTCGAGCTGGATGGCTGAGGGCCTGCAACCAGTCAACTCCACACCCAATTGGAATTTTGCACGGGGGTGAGAGTGACAGTGGGAAAGGTTCCCAGATTCCCAGATGGCCCCTTAAAAGAAAACGCAGCTCACCGAAACCAGGATCACCAAGCCCCAAAGCATAACCTGCGTGTTGCCGAATCTTATACCGACACCTGCGCGCCGATGTGGGACATGGGGCCGCAGGTAGGCAAAGCTGCTGGCGTCTGTTGGGCCCCATGTGGCCTTCACAAATCTTCACAAGATGAGCTTAATTGTTTGGTTGCAGTGAAGGCCTCGGATGCCTAGAATGCCTGAGTCTTTTAGCAAACACAGGCCGCAAAGGCGTTTTGTCAGTCCGCTAGCACGTGGATAGAGAATTGACTATGCGCAACTTAGACAGCAATATTTAGAAGAAGAAAACAGGAATTCCTGGAACAACCGTGTCCGTTTCGAATCAGTCCTAGAATTATTGCTGCATGACCAATATAGAAATTGAAATGCTGACGGCTTAATTAGTCTCAGACTCTTTTTCCCCTCCCCTAATACTACATCCCCCCCCACTCCCCCCCCCCCCCCCCGCCGCCCCCCCGCCCCCCCCCGTCCCCCACCCCCTACCCCCCCCCGCCCCCGCATTCCAAAATTCGCCTCGGCCGGGAAAAAATATTTGAAGGGGGGGCCTAAACCCTAAAACCTGAAATCCGAAGCCTGGGAGGCGAAGGAGGGAGTATAGGGTTTGGAGTTTGGGGTTCTGGCTTCAGTTGGAAGTTGGGGCTTAGCCTTCATCCCTAAACCCTGAAAACCCTCTGAGCCTTAAGCCTTAAGCCTAATTGAAAACCCTAATGGCTCACGGCAGCAAACCCTCCCCCGTTCTCAAACAGGTTTAGTATTTGGCTGGGTGCCGGGAGGGCCCGGGAAAACTAATATTTAAAATTACAGACGGCTTCCGGAGGAGCATGCACGGATGCCGAAGCAAAGCCGTTCAAGACACCGAGAGGCCGGACAGCACACCCCGGCAGATTCGAGCCTCCATAAGTGCACAGGACCGAGGTGGGAGCGCAATCCGGGCCACGAAAGGCGCACAGGATCCATACTGGACGAGAGCACGGCCACGATTCTCACGATGAAAGACCGCGATACCCATACTGTTGCCACGCTGTTCAGGAACAAATGCCCAATTACTGCCTCTGGTCCAATACTTCTGCATCTCGATCGCAAAGCTTCTCGAATTTTCATTTGTCGGATGCAGCCCACGTGTCTCTGAGTACGCTGATCAGACCTCGACCTTCATCGAAGGAAGCGCGGGCAAAGGAGTCAAGGGGTGTCGGCCAGAAACTTTCATGATTTAATGATTTAATGTTTATCCTCAATGCTGCAGCTGCTATAGTCATTTAACAGTTCCATGAAGTTCCTGTTGGTTGGACCTGTTCTCAACCTTGCTTATGATCCAACAATAACCTCGAGGCAAAACCTAGATTGGCCAGCTTCATCGCAAGCCCACTACTCATCCGGTCATGTCGGCTGCGCATACCTCTGTGGTATGTCGCCGGCGTTGTGGACTCCCCATGAGGACTGACGAAGACGTCTTGTGAGGGAAGCTCAAGGACATCCCTGGGCTCGCTTATGTTCACATATATGGCACTCCAAGGATGAGCAGCCACAGTTGCAGGCCTACAGTACAACAGTACAACCAACTGCGTGCCCCGTGGTCGCTTGGGCTCAGCCTTACTATGCTTTGGTCCTGCGTTGCTTGCTTCCGCATTTCGGATTCGCAACGATGTTGGAGGTCTGGGCCCTGACATCTGCCCCTCCCGCCTGGCCCGGCGCTTGCTGCCCCAGGCGACTGCAGCCAGGTGGCCACAGCATCAGCGGCCCGCAGAGTAGCCTCTACATATGTGTGGCTGTCAAAATTATGATCCCTTTTGAGGTACCTTAAATCTTAGGTGCCGTATTATACTAGGGGCCCAAAAAGGGACCAGAATTTTGACAACCACCCATATGGCGGATTTCAGACTTCAGGTTTCGGGGTGTTGAACTACCAAGGGGTTTAAGTTTCGAGCTGTATCCGTTCAGCCAGTAGTTTCCCAACCAGCTTGCTGAAAGAGGATTGAGAAGTCATGGAGACGCTTCCACGATTGCAGCTTGATGATGTTGGAAAGCGTTTCCCCGAATCCAAAGGATGAGGCACAGTGCATCTCGCATTACATCCCTGCCACCCCACGGAGTAGGAGCACCGCTCGCTATTGCGCAGCCTGTTCACAACGTGCAATGCCACTCAATCCATGTGAATCCGAACCACTTGCAGTGTGATACCAGCGGCAGTCCCAGCAAGTTCATCCAACTACATGTGACTGCCTCTCAAGTCCCGTCAACACATGAATTGAGATTTGGGGGGAGGGGGGGAGGGGGGGGGGGTTGCATGAACCTTTGGTGTCCTTAAGCTACTACTGAAGAGGATTGAAGAGGAGAAAGCAAGCTCGCAAATACATGCCAAATTTACAAAGCCCCCGAATCGTCGCTGCCTGGCCTCCAAAGCAAGTGCTGTCCGTCCTTCGTTGAAGCCGCTGGGCCCAAGATCTGCCGCGACACTCGTTGAAGATTGTCAGCTGACAGCTTGAAGCCTTGGCTGCTGCATGGACAGGTTCTTTCCGTTTGCTTGTAACGTGTGGAGGGTTGAGCATTTTCGCAGCAGCTTGGCCTGAGGGGGCATATTTTGGTTGCCCAGTCTCAACTCTCAACGCAGCACCAAGAGTCTCAAACGATCCGTCGTGACAATGCAGGTGGTAGGCTCAAGTGAGGCAAGCTGTGGACCAAAAGCGCAACCACCATCTCTCCAGCCCAAAGCCCGGAATGTACCCGCAAATACTAGATAAAAGCTGAGGCACCACCTGGCCAATGCGGTAGCCCCTCGCTGAAGCTCAGGACTTCGCATCTCATGCCTTTGCACAGGTTTTTCTAAGGCCCCAATCCCCACAACCTCAGCAGCTTCTAGAAGTCGCGAATGCGTGTGCGTGTGCGCGTGCGTGGACGTCCGTCTCTCTCTCTCTCTTTCTGTGTCTCTGTCCGTCTGTCTCTGTGTGTCTCCGTGTGTCTCTGCGCGTCTCTGTGTGTCTCCGTGTGTCTCTGTGTGTCTCCGTGTGTCTCTATGTGACTATGCGTCGATGTGTGTCTCTCTGTGTCATATATATCTGTGTGTGTGTGTGTCTGTGAGTGTGAGTGTGAGTGTGTGTGTGTGTGTGAGTGTGAGTGTGAGTGTGTGTGTGTGTGTGTGTGTCTGTGAGTGTGAGTGTGAGTGTGAGTGTGAGTGTGAGTGTGTGTGTGTGCGTGTGCGTGTGCGTGTGCGTGTGCGTGTGCGTGTGCGTGTGCGTGTGCGTGTGCGTGTGCGTGTGCGTGTGCGTGTGCGTGTGCGTGTGCGTGTGCGTGTGCGTGTGCGTGTG